CGCCCTGCCTTGCTCACTGACCTAGCATGACTGATTTGCGTTTTGTCTCATGGAGAAACCCCAACAATGAGCTCATTCCAGTTAGCTTCCCTTAAACCCCCCAAAAGGGTTCCTCTCGAAAGACACTCCCTGGATTGTTCTCGGCTCTGGCTGACACCCCTGGTCCTGTATGATGCTCTCCATGGCCACCTTGCGAACTTGTGCCACCGTCTTTCCCCCTGTTTCCCCGATCGCCCATATCCACGGAGCAAGTCGTCGCAACGGTCTGAGACTGAGCTCTTCGTTTTTTCTTTTTCGGCAATCCTCGCAAAAAGGAGCCCCAATCCTTTGCTGTCTCGAAAAAGGAGCCGCGGGCCGTTCGTGTTTTTCCAATGTTGTTCCAAGCTGACCTTTTGACCTTTTGGTTTTCCCCGTCATGGCCCCAAAAGGTGATCACCTTTTAGTTCCAGGTCCCGGCGCTGAGAAAGAATCCGCGCCGCTTGGCCCTCCGTTGGCTTCTTGGCCAAGGCGTTGCTGGAAGCGGTGCTTCGCCTGACGAGAGCGCCCAAAGAGATTTTGCCCCTGGAGATGGTGGAGCAGGCGACTTGCGGTTTCAGGACGGTGCTTAAGTGGTCCACCTTGACCCCTTTTGGGATTCTTCGCTGTTGGCGTGTTTTAGGCCTTTTGGTTTTTGGAATCTGTTCATTTTTGGCAGGGGGCTACAACGAACAGAGCGTTTTGCTACCATGCCAAGGGTCGCAAAGGAGATTTTCGATCTTCCAGAGCGGATTTTCTAAACAACCCATAGACGCTTAAAGCGCGTGAATTTGGCTAGCTCTTGCATGCTCCGTCTTGTACAGGCGCCATGTGAGTGGGACGTTCTTTTTGAATCCAGCATTTGGAGGGTTCGTGTGAAGATGTCACTTTGGACGCTGCTGGAGTCCATTTTGGCTTTGTGAGGGCAACAAGAGTATCTCACTCCGTGCGTTGGACTAAAAATACGTCTTGGGAAGACTTGCTTGGTTGTCAACAGACGGTTCAGAGTCTTCTGACCCATCCATGACGGAAGTCAGGCACACTGTATATATGTTCCCGTAACCTTGACGTCGTAGGGTTGCACCAACAAGAGGGCCAACCCAAACCTACCGGTAGCCTGCGACAACTCAGAAGGAACCACCTGGCTCGATTTGTGAAGGCGAAGATGGCCCATTTCGCAGAGCATGCCATGCTCACACAAGACATGTTTGAAGAAGAGCTTCAAGAGGGAGAAGAAGTCAAGTGTATTGATATGTATTGACTGTATTGATATTTATTGATCCAATGAGTTGTTCCAGTTCTAGAAACAGGGTGAGCAACGTCAATGGCGACCGCAGACAATTGGTGCTGCGCAGGTTTCTCGCGCAGCTCAGCTGAGGTGTTGCACGCAGCGGAGGAGCGATTGGAAGTGAAGCGCTATGAGGACTGGTTGTTGCATGGGGGGTTCATATTGTGGATGGACAAAATCCTGCGCCACTTGGAAACCATGGGAAACCATTTTTCATAGGTATTCACAGGGGAATCATCATTCCTATAGGTTTCTTAGGTGGTGCGAAATGGAGTTCGTCCATCCACAGTATTGCCGCTTTGAAAGGCGACGCGGCGGGGTTTAGGTCGAGTTCGCCATGATGTAGGACCTCTATTTGGGGATTCCTGAGAAGGGTTTGGAATTACAGCAGAATTCGAAGTCTATGCTGGGGCATGTCTAAAAAGGGGGACTTCAAAGTGGTTGGAGTGGTTGGACTCTTTTTGGTGTCCTTTTGAAGCCAACAGGGGGTTACCCCTTTAAACAAAACACTCATGTGTTGCCCCTACACTCAATGACCATTGTGCTTGCGAGCTCCAAGAGCTATGGCTGCTACCTTGGCGGTGGCGTATTGATTTCGGTGTGCATCTCTTTCGAGGGTACCTTTTTTTTGTGGTGTTTTCAAAGGAACATCAATTAAGAGCAACACCCACCCATTTTAGGGATCCCCGAGAAACAAAAACATGTACCCATGAGTTCCCACTGAACCCTGAGATGACAGCCTGGTCGTGCCATGTAACCAATGACGATCTTGGTGTTTTGCCATGCTGGAACCCCGAGCTCCAAACCACCAACCATTTTAGTGGTAAACAGAAAGTTTGGACTTCTGTTTGCAAGTCCACTCTGGAAGTGAGCTGTTTCTGTGGCCATTTTTTGGTTGGGGCTGCTCAAAGCACGCGAAGCAGGGCGCCCAACAGGCCGAAGCACACAAATTTCTTCCCATCTTGGGTTTCTCGAATCGCGGGCGCTCCCAAAATGGGTGGCTTCTTGTTGCTTTCCCTTGAACTGGGGGTCCTCCAAAACTCGTTTGCACTTTAGTGAACATTTGTAACAGAGTCTGATAATATGATTTTCTGTGGTTTTTAGGTCTTTAGGGTTTCGTGGTTGAATTTCCATTTAGCTCGCAAGCTTTTAGCAGGGGATCAGAAAACGGACAGACCGGACGTGGGTCAAGTGTTCACCTTCCCGAAATTCCGGAAGGGAGCCACAGGCCGTGGCCGATCTCGACATGCCGAAGGCAGAGCCAGGCGGGTCGATGGCCCCCCTGAAATTGGGGTAGTTGCCGTGTGTTTTCCCTTTGCCCCGAAAAGAGAACCCCGAACAAAAGGTAGGCGCATGTAGTTGAGTTGTGGCTTTTTGGGAGTTCTGTTCATTTTCAGTGGGGGGGATGCAGGTGCGAAGAGCACAGGTGTTTGCTAGCATGCCAGGGGTTGGAAGTTGGAAGGTCTATTTCGATCAACGCCTTAAGATTGGTGTCCTGCCAGACAAACATGTGTCCAGGCGATGCCGTTTTAGAGGCTACCCGCCAGTTGTTTTCTGGTTTAAAGGGAACAAAAGGAAGACCGACATCCATTTTGGGGCTCAAACAAAAGACACACCCGTTGGATGGTTCCTATTTTGGTGTCCCTGAAAAAGGGAAGGTAAAGAGGGCACCCGACACTCAGGTCTGAAAGCCCCGATTTGTGGTGTTTTTTTTTGTTCGCGCAGGTGCGGAGGCTCGCTTGGTGGTGGTGGGAGATCTGCATGGCCAGTTGCAGGATCTGCCTGGAAGCCCAAGACCGGCTGCGCGATGCGGACTGCGATGTGTCCCGTTTCTTGGGACCTCGAAACCTCCCGTTTTTGGACCTGCAGACCTCCGGTGCTCGCGAAAATTCTCCCCAGGTTGTCAGATGAGGGTGTCAGATTTTTCGAAAGTCTGTCGGAAAGCCAATTGAAGCCAGCCACAGATGCCAGGGCCACTCGGATACCACATCCTCAGGCGTTGGGGGAAGTCTTCAAGGGAGTAGCAATCTAAGCACATGTCTTGAACGCAATGTAATATGGCCGGGAGCAAAAATGGCCGGGGGCACAGGCCGCCAACCAATTTCGAGCTTGGACGTTCAATTGAGCGACACGTGACATCATTGAACATTGGCGCCTAATTTCCTGGCGGACTTGGAAACAGCTTGGATGCGATTGCAGCTGGTAGAAGTGCAGGCGTTTCGCCATGGGATCTCCACGAAGGAATCAATCACTGCTCAGAAGCCCGAAGGCTCCGTGAGCCAATGTCATTGAAGGCCCATCGACGCTGGGAAAGGCCTGTCCTGCTTGCGCTGGGAAACGCCACATTGTATGCATCCCAGCGGAATGTCGCAGAACGCAACACTCCAAATATGGTTGGCGAAAGCCGCGCGAGAGCATTGGTTAGACACACAAGATGAAGAGCACCATGGCCGGTCGGCCAAGGCAACGCGCAACATAAAGATGCCCGATTGAACAAACTCAAAGCAAGAGACGGATCACACTCCAAAGCCAGGGAAAGCGCGGACTCGGACATGCTCAGCACGCTCAGGTTGCGCACCAGTGCCATCCATCGTCATGCCTCGCCATCTCTCCACCCCTCCACCAATCTGATGTTTTCCTGACTCCTCCCTAACTCGGCCAGGCACGCGTGTTTTTGCACATTCTGACAGGACACGAGAACACTGTGAATTCTGCCTGCCCTGGGGCAAGCCTCCTAAATGCGCACGCTGGAGCATCGTCTGCTTTGCTGCGTGATATCTGTTGGGCACTAAACCAAATAACGGAAACCTGTGCCCGTAAGGTGTTACCCCACCCCGCCCGACCCCCAAAGGAAGGCCAGACACATGGGGCTCATGTCATAAAATTCTCCGCGTCGTTAGTAGCGGCGTGACCAAGAACTAGGGCTGGGGCTGGGGCTGGACACATGAGTGTGAGAGCTACAGCCATAGTCCAAGGGCAAAAAGCTGGGGCGAGGTGAAGCTTCAGGGATGGACTTGGGACGGGGTTCCGTTCATCATCGACAACTAATAACTTGCATTTTTGAAATATATCTTTGTATGGAAAACCCACTGGAGGTCTGGGTCATGCATGTCCTTGCTTGGCCCCTCACTTGTTCAAAGTCACAAAACTTTTCAACTTTTTGAGTGTCCTTAACCTTGTGTTTCAGGTCCCTTGAGCAGGCGAGACAAAGAGTTGAGTTTGAAATCGCAAGTCCTGGCACTGGCCCATGTAATTGTCTTGGCGGATCACATGTTCGTGTGCTGGCCTCGAGTGCTTCGACACAAGATTTTTGTGGAAACTGAGTCGTTTCGTTTGCCGGCGTTGCAGTTTACGCACCTGCTCTGCGCAGCTGCTGCCATAGCGTGTGTCAGAGCTCGCTTTGTATTTTTTCGAGGGTTTGATTCCCCGTGTCCATCGTTCTTTTCAGAAACCACCACCCATCTTCTGGGAAATCTCCAAATTTGGTTGGGTATGCTAACTGATGGCCACTCACTACAGACGGTCTACCCCCCAAAAAGGGTTTGTTTGCTTTTGGTTTCCCTTTAAAGCCAACCGAAGAAAGAGACCGAGCCGCATAGATGTGTGATTTGATTCCGTTTTTTGTTGGGGGTTCCGGAGGCTCTGGATTTTGCTGCTGCACGGCCTGCCAACGACCTCCAACGTGCGCCTAGGTGTGATGGCGACGCGAGGGTCTCCGGAGAAGCAAGCTTTTTCCAACTGCATTCCGGTCCTCCGCATTCACAACTCTTGGATTTTTGGAGACGAGCGAACTAGCAGGGGATGACCATTCAATCGCCAGCCAGACAAGAGTTGGAGTACGTTTCAACTGCTTTACAGGTGATAGACTTTTGGGTGTATGGTTCACAAGAGTTTGCGACCTCCGCAAATGAAGGTTCCTGTCATTTTGGGAGTTTCTCATTTTCCGTTTGGCGAATTAGTTTGAAACTGTCCCAGGCTTTCTGCACCAGCTGGGATGGATAAACCCTTATGAATACTGGTGAATAACCTTGGTGGCAATCGGCGTGTTTGGCGCACCTCAGATTGGGTATGGGTCAAAAATGGAAAAGAGGATGTGGACTGCAGGTTTTAGTTTCCTGTTTCCATGTACCAGGGCGGGCGAACCATTTTGGGGTTACCAATTCTATTTATGACACCCCCACCCCATTCATTCGCCTTGATGGTTCTCAGCAGGCAGTGAAGAAAACCACCTCCATAAACCGTCCAACTGGTGATATTTCCTTTAAGGGGAGCCCTGGGTTCATTCCCTCATTCCCCAGCTCTCGCAGCAAGTCCAAGTCGAGTGCTTCGGATCCCGAGGTATTTGTTCAACGGCGACGTGGCGGACCGGGGCCCCAGCAGCCTCGAGATCTTCTTCGTGATCTTCGGGTTCATGTGCGCACGCCCGGGATCCGCAGCTCGGATCTGAGGGGTAAGGTGGTTTCCAGCTGGCCCGTTTCGGACCCCTTTGGTTTGCCCATTGGAGAAACCAAACCAAACTTGGTGTTTGCTCTCACATGGTAAGCAGAGTCAGAACACGTTTGTCTCAACTTGAGGCCCTCTACATGATGGGTTCCCCTTTGGTTTCCCTTTAGAATGAAATGAAAGACACACACATTTTGGACCCCAAAGGGGAAACCACGAGGATGTGGTTTAACTTTCTGGTTGGAAGGGAGCCGTGACAGAGCTGCTATCCAAGTTTGCCTTCTGAGAGGGTAGTTGTGGTTAGACACGAAACAGAGTCAGAATGTGATTTGTGTACCCCAGATGTAGGCCCTATAGTTTCAGTCTCCTTTGAAGGAAAGCCAAGAGGAGATTGTGTAAACAGTAATGTATTTTTGACAATGTTTCAGCAAGGCGTTCTTAATCTTGGGGAGCCCAATTAAAAACCAACGGCCAGCATGGCAGGTCGGGGGAATTTACCCAACGAGCCATGCGGATAAAACCGAGGAACCGGGTGAAATGTAGCTTGTAAAAGTATTTTTTTTTGGAGGGTACCCCTTGTGTGGTGGTTTTGCAGGGAAGCCGAAAGGACAAGTCAGCATTTTGGGGTTCCGATTCCCGAAAAAAGGACGAGCCACCCCAACTTAGTTCGTCAGGATTATTTTTGGAACCCCTTAGCGGACAAACCCTGACACTGCAAGGGCGATGAATCCCAGATCTCCAATGGAAGCGTTTCGTCCTTTTCCTTTGGGAGGGGGTTGAAATATCTAGAAAACGGTTTGGATTCGCGCTTTTTTGTGGAACAAATGCCAAATCTTCCCAAGCAGCATCATCCAAACCGTGTTCTAGATTGGAAGGATGGTTGGTGCAAATGCCCTTGTTCCAAGCAGGGGATGTAAGGTGGGCGTCCTCTTGAAAAGGCCTTTGCCCACTTCCATTGCCAAGTAAATGGGTGTGTCATTTCCAAGGAGATCGTGTGTTTTTTGGTTTCCTTTTGAAAGCACCCAAAGGGAAAGCCCTCAAAAACGCACCCAAATGATGTCCATCGGAAGGTCCCAAACCAAACTTCACAAAACACCCGAATTTGGGTAGACCATTTTGCTGAACTGATTGATCCTTTAGTTTCCCGTGCTCCTCTTGAGCATGCTGTCAGCTCCGCGAGCGGCATTGAGATCTCTTGATAGATAGCTCGTGAAACCCAGCCTTTAGCTGGCTATTGGCTGGATCTTTGGACTTTAACTTTTTGGGAAGCAGTGGACTTTTTGGGAAACAGTGGATTTTCCATTGGAGTCGCAAAAGATCAACTGCTTCAAAGAGGGAGTGAACAGCAACCAAGTTAGTTTCCTTTTGGGATGAAGTTGCCGCTGAGAATGCCGGGCTCGGTTTGGCGCTGCAGGTCTTTCTCAACCGCGGTAACCACGAGGACAAGTTTCTGAACGAGCGATACGGCTTTCACGCGGAGTGCACCGGCAAGTACGGCAAGAGAGATGGGGGCCGGATCTTTGACACGCTCACGCGCCTCTATACTTTGCTGCCGCTCGCAGCTCGGTTGTGATTCGTCATTTGGGTGTGTCTTGTTGTTTTAGGGGATACCCAAGAAGCATTGATTATCCTCTTGCTTTCCCTTACACAAAATCAGGACAGCCTCAAAGAAGACACGCCCATTTGCCTTTGGTTGAGCACTGGGTGTTCGTTCTCTTCAGCTGGTTTGGTGGGGAGCAAGGGCACATGCCAACCCAATCTTTGGCCCGCGTCTTTGAGATCTCGCGACTTTTGGCCCTACGGCTTCAACTTAAAAGGCCGGACCAAAAAGGCCAACAAAAAGGCCCCACAGCCCCCCCCGTTTGTGTGACAAACCCCATCCGTTTGGGTCTCCAAACAGGTTTCCATGGGTTGCCCAGGGCACCCATTTCGAGCTTTCAGCCCCCAATAAGGGGACCTCCCATACCCCGAGGAAGCAAATCCGAAGCAGAGCAAACACCTCTCAAAAGACTCCCTGAAACTTCACCAGAATTAGCTCCCCTTTTTGCGTTTTTTGCTTTTTGGGGGCTCCCTTTGTTTTCCACTAACCAGGCAATGGGGTCCTAATTCCAGCCAAGGAAATATCCTGTACACCAAAATCCATCCACTATTCCTCTCAGAACCAATCCCTGGGATTCAAATCACCGTTAAGACAATGCGTTTACTGTAACCACCATGTTTTGCCCAACAGTTGGGGGTGTGTCTCTTGGGTGTGTCTCTTAGGTGAATCCCCAACATGGATTTCGGTTTTCCTTTTGGCTGCCCCAAGAAGAAGGGGACCCAACACCAACCCAAAAGTCTAGGGGTTGATTCCCCATTCTTTTCAACCATCGTTCTTTTTAGAAACCAGCTGTTTCCCCTGGGGTTCTGATGGTTTTCTGGAAAGATTCGGATCCCTGGGAAGAATGGTTGGAAGTGTCCCCTAGAAGAGAAGTGGTAGAGGGCCTAGTGGTGGTTGTAAAAGGAATCTATGCCCTTTCTGTTTTCTTCTTTCCAGTAGTGAGAGATTCCCTCTAAAGCCAAAAAGAATGCAATTGGAAGTGTCCCCTCCATGACCCTGAGAAAATGGGTCAATGACTCCCCATGGGTAATGACCAACCCTTTTTTAAGGTTCACAGCCCCACAAAATTGGCGCCGCCCCAGCGCGGGTTTCCGCTGGCCGCCCGAGTCGAGGCCACCGTCCTGGCCAAGCAGATCTTCGTGGTCCACGGGGGTCTGCCGCGCCGGGAGCACGCGCTGGCGCTGCTGCGGGCGGCCAACAGCCTGAGGCGAGCCGTGGCGTTGCGCTTCTTCTTTCTTTTTTTTGTGTGTGTGTGTGTTTTTGTTGTTGTTTCTTTTTTCGGTTTCTTTTAGTTGCGGTTTTCTCACCGTGAAGTCGATGGGCAAGTTTAGGTCAGCTCACTCCCTGAGTTCCTGGACTTTAACACTTTTGAAGGTTTTGCGACGATTTGGCGGTAAGCGGAAAGTTCACGACTTTGTTTTGGGCCATCCCCGCTCAAGCGAGGTAAAGGTGTACTCACTCCCTGAGCTAAACACCCAAAGCCATTCTTGGGGGCTGTAACACCCAAAGCTTTGAGCTTTTCGGGTTGCGAGCCATTGCCCTTACCTCCAAAAGTGGGGCATTTTCAATTGGGGAAGGAGAAATCCGGCGACCCCTGTCTAGTGTCTTCTTTGGATGCTAGGTGGTTTTAAAAGGAAACGAAAGGGAAACCAAAGGGGTCTTGTAAAAAAGCCAAAGCGAATCGACCGAATCTGACCTTTTAGAGTCCATTTTACTCCTGGCCCCTGAAGGGGAACCTTTGATGTCCAGGTCTTTAGACAACTAAGCTAAGGTTTTAAAGAGGACACCAAAGGCTTTTGTTGTTGTCGAGTGCTTTGTGTTTGACTCTTTCCTGTTTTGGTCCATAGTCAAGGTCACAAATTGCTAACCTTCTATTTACAGGTCCGACAATTGAGCTGAGGATATTGCAGGTTTAAAGGGAAACCAAAAGGAACATCAATTTTGGTGGTCGCTCAAACAAGAGACCCACCGAATTCGCATTGCAGTTGGATATTAATATTTAGTTTTCCCATGGTTGTCAGGGGCCTCCCAGACAGGAATTGGACCCAAAACAAAGCCCAGACAGGTGCCTATTAGCCCCCCCCCCAAAAAAAACATACTACATTGCTCGCAATTAGCGCCCATTGGGATGGGGCGGGGTTGCATTTGCATCAAGAAAATCAGCGACAGTTGGCATCTAGCTATTTATAGTATCAATGACAGTTGGCATCAACAGGTGCTCTCGGTGCATCCAAAAGAAGCCCGAGTGGTATCCCCAACTCCGAACCCCTGGAACTCTCCGCATGCCCCAAACCACTCCAGATCCTATCTGGGCAGAGACCCCCTGGCTCGCAGCGGTTGGGGACAAAAAACCAGCAACCAAACTGCCATGGGTACAAATTCGTAGGAGTTCTCACATGAATTCGGATCCCCAGGGTTGCTTGAAATTGTTTCAAGGTTTCTATTTGGCCACTTCTTCGGCACGACGTCTTCCCTTTTGCCAGAAAATGGAACCTCCGAAAAGGAAAGGCCCCCTTGCGGGTCCGCCAAAACAGGGGTTCTTCCATTTCCCGTTTTGGAACCTCCAAAAGTGGCGATGGTTTTAGTGGACACCAGTCAATTGATCAGGTTTAATCGGGGAAATCCAGCGACCCCTGAATCACCTGGAAGGGATTCCTCCTTTTGCAACGCAACTCGCATTCGAGACACGAGGCTATGTCTTCATGCCCAAAGAAGCGCTTCCCCCAAGAGACCCCTGCAAACAGGAAAGCCAGCTGCCCCCACAAGAAACGCTTCCAATTCAGCCGCTGCCACTGCGACAGGCCAAAGGCTTTGCCCTTCCACTGCGAGGACGCCCACGAGCAGGCGCTGTTACGCGAGAGGGGATCCCAGGACCCAGAAATCCCTGGGAGCCAGGGCTAGGAAGATTGACAGATTGTCCCACGTGTGCGCTTCTGGTGGCTTCCCTATCCCAAAACGGGTTCCGATTCCTGCTGTGCAAGGGTCACTGGGCGACTGGCTGTCCAACACTGCTTCATCAAACATTCTGTCACTGGGTTTGGGCTGATGCACAAGCCACTCAACATGTTTGGGCACGTGGACTCACTTTGGCTGCTGTGGCCGTATTTCGGGAGAGCGGCTCCATTTCCCTCGGGGGTTATTGGGTTGTTTTCTTTCTCCCGATGTTGTTGTTTTTGTGTGTGAGTGCATTTGTCAGTGCAACGTGCAACTCCAACCGGCCATGCGCATGCTTGCGGGATGACACAAAATTTAATTCGAGCTGCAGGGACGGACAAAGCCACAAGCGTTCGACTGCCTCGTGGAACCTTTGGATTGCCTTCTCGCCTTCTCGCACGGAGGTGATGATGGATTTCCTTTGGAGCGACCCCTCAGCCGCTCGGCGAGACGATCGCTGGATGGCCAGCTTGAGTTTGGGCCTTTGGAAACGTGGCATTGGGGGTGCAACGTGCCATCGAAGTGCCACCAGCTCAGATGAGGGGCCGGTGGAAGTAGGGCTTAAGCCGACGGGGGTTGCCTGGATGACTGGTTGTTGGATACATGGGACCGATTGGGCACGAGTGGGGCGGGAAATTCCATCCTGTTGCGCTCAGAATCGCAGGAAGGGTGAAGCTTTCAATCTGATTGCCTTTGTTTCATCGCATAGAACCTACAGGCAATCCATTGGCTGTGCCATTGGTCTGTTCGCTTGAAATCTATCACCGAGCCCTGTGGAGCAGTGCTCCCCAATTTTGCAGGGGGTGTTTGCTTCAAGCTGCCCTTACCCACGAGGGCCATGAGACTGGAGGGCCAGTGGAAGAGAAGGGAACCGAGCGACTGGAGACAGCCGCGTGTCGAGTGGGTGGATTTATCGACTCGGTGGATTGGTGAACACTCGCGGATCCCATTGAAATGGGGCGCTCACCTATGAAGATGCTGGTTTTCAGCGGGGAATGAGAAAAGTTGACTGACCTCTGTGCACCATCGCAGGGAATGCCAAGGTTCATTCCAAAACCCTGGGTCGTCATTCCCTACTGAGCACCAGCAAGCGTTCCAAAGACCATGGCCTGCGGGGTTGCCGGAGGGTACCTCTGACCTATAAACTAGTCCGGGGTTCCCGTTGTGGCTTGAGTCGCACGCGTCAGGAAACCCCGGGCATCACGCACTCCGTCCGCGGGTCGCAGCAGATTCGCTTCGGGCCCGACATCACAAGGCGGTTCCTGGAGGCTGTTCACAACGGATCCGGTTGGTTTGCCAGGGCTCCCCAAAAGCCGCACCCAAGATTCACAGCGAGGACAGGATTCCCCACAAAAAAGACCATGCTGAATAATAACTGGGTGGAGTTATTAACCCAAGGGCGGCGTTGTCAAGTTGGTGGTCCGCAGCCACCAAGAGCTGGCTACAGGGCAGGCACGACACAGAATGCGTTCAGAATGCATGTTGAAGCCGTTGGATATGCAAATTTGGATTACACTCAAAGCGTGTTCGATCTACAAAGAATGCATGCCCTCTTATTGCCCTCTTCCCATCGGTTTTTACAGGATTTTGAGCCAGCAACATGTGTTCCAAACCCGACTTTGTTTCGGGCAAGGTGCCTGCATACAGATTGGAACCGTGAGGTCTGGGCTTGACACAAGGCTTTGGTACGGGTGCAAGTTGAGGTTCCCAGTGCTTGAAATGGCCCCAAGCCAGTGCTTTGGTGCATGTTGCTTGGTTGTTAGGACTTTAACTTTTTGCCAACTAATGGTTTTTCCATTAAACCACTAAAAGTTAAACTTTTAGCAGGGGATCAGAAAGCAACCGAGAGTGGCTTTTGTTGGGGGGCGCTGGATTTTTTTTTCTCGGTAGCTTTGAGCTCCGCCAGCCTTCCGACGTTGCCCAAAGTGGCTGGAACTAACCACCTGGGTGTGGCTCAAAATTAAACAGGGGGGGTTACGCGGGTTTTGGTCCATGGTTCCGCTTACCAGGGTTCCATTTTGGTACCGGTTTTTTGAGCCACAGCCACCTGGTTGCTCGGTTTTTGATGCAAACATGAGTATATGCGATGCGAAAAAGGGGGGGGGGCGCCACCTGAGAAGTATTGCCAGGAGAACAGTCTGCGGCTTGTGGTGCGATCGCACGAGGTCCCGCCCAACAGGGACGGCTGCCAGGTGCCTTGGACCTTTTTCCCACTTGCAACCAGAGCGAATCGATCGACTGGATCTTCTCGTTGTCCCATGTTGGTCAATTTTTACTTGGCGGTTCCCAGCCGTCGGGTTTTAGGCGTTAAGGCTGTAGTGGTAGTTTCTGTTTAGCTTACTAAAGTTAGAATTTAGCAGGGGATCAGAAAACGGACAGCCCAGTTTAGTTATGGCTCCCAAAGGTGATCACCTAATTCATGTCTGGGTCCAGACTGGGCAGCTGAGTTGTCCATTATTTTCTTCGCGGAAACCCGGAACCGCTCACAAGAATCAGACAGCTCCAAAAGTGGCAGTTCTTCCGGCGCCATGTTAGTTTGCACACCCAGACCAGCGGGAAACGCAAACTTGGAAACACGTGCCCCCGCCCAAGAAAAAGAGAATCATGAAACACGTACGTGGAATTGCCCTTCCATAGCTTCATCCTGGGGAGCAATAGGCTTTTAAAACAAAGGCCGTTACATGGACATCCTTGGTTTGACCAGCTCGGGGATGGGGGCCTGGGTGGAGTTCAAACTTTACTTCGTCAGCAACCAGCCTTTTCCACGCTAAGCTAGAAGGCTTCAACGCGAAAGCAACATATATACTTCCGTTTTGTTAAGAATATGTCTTATTTTGCCCTGTTGGTTTTAAGGGAAATCTATCACTACTGGAAATATTATATATATATATGTATATATATATATATATATTTCTCCTGGATAATCATTTCCCGAAACATCCATTCAGCAGGACCTTTTAAAACCCAGCAGCAAACAACGCCAGCCAGGACGAATGTGAGTGGCTTTTCGCCTGCCATATGTCACGGCGGCTCACGGTCGTGCACTGCCAAAGAAGGCGTTCGCGCCCATTTCACTGCATTTGCATGCTTTCCTTGTCGATGTCCCCTTGCGAAGCCCATGATCAATGTTTCAAGAAATCCCAAGAAAGTCGAAGACCACGAGCATTGAACAGATTCCACATGTCTGGCCTGGTTTCCTCGAGGCTTTAAGCGTCCGTTTCAGCCACTTGGCAACTCCAAGGCAATGTGGCTCCCAATACGTCCAAAAGACATAGGGCCAACCCAGTTTCAAGCGTCCAGCTTGAACACAAAGAGCGGTGCGCACACTTCACGGCCGCTTCCTCAAGGCCTTTCTTTTTCAAGCTTCCGAAGCTCAGGGAGTGGGGAAAACTGAGGGCTCAGCCAAGGTCCCAGTCTGGCACCTGTTGGCGCTTGGTTGGGCCTAGGATCCAGAGGTAGAAACGGGAAACTGAGCGACACCCCCACCCCGGGTACTGCTTACGCCAACACTTCCCACTGGTAACATGCGAAGCTGAGGCTGTTGAAAGCGCAAGTTACAGTCAAAGACAGGCGAAACCATAGCTGGCTGTCCTTTTCGGGTTGCTTCAAAGCGAATGGCCCTGGTAGATGAAGAAACCACCAGGTAAACCAACCAGAAAGCCAAATTGCTCGCATGTTCGGAGCCCGTTTTGTGTTTCCTGTTTTTTGTGTGTTTTGTTTTTTCAGCAATACCGGGGGGGGGGACTGTCCATTCCACTTGAGGTGATGCATCAGGGCCAGCTGGTCACGGTGTTCAGCGCCTCCAACTACGGGAACCAGCAGAACCGTGGGGGAGTGCTCATTTTCACCCAGACGGACCGAGGCGCCCGAGCACGAGTGCAACCCAACTGACAGGCGTGTCCCTTTTAGCTGAAATGAATAGGCTTCTTGTGTTATCCCTTGGTTTCACTTCTGGACATATGGTATGATTTTCCGGTTGGTTTCTCTTCAAAGCCACCAAACATGGGAACCATCTCCTTTGTGTTTTTCAATCAGGGGTGTTCGTTCCCATGGGCATTCCAACTCATAGGTGTCCTTTGAATCGGTCAGTTGGCCTAGAAATCGATGGGCTCTATTGGTTTAGATGGGTTTTATGCACCCATCTACCAGCGAAACTCTATGTTCCCCCCAAAGGCCACCTATGATTCCAATTTTTCCCGTCTCCTCAGATGTCAAGAAGTTTCCCTAGGAGTCCACCAAATGGATGGGCCCCGGAGCCCACCTTCGGGCGGGCGAGCGAGCGAGCGAAGCACAGTCTCCGGGTCCGTTTGGAACTGGACTCATCTCCGGGTGTCTTTCTCGGGGGTACCTCTGGGGGGTTAAAATTGGAATGCCACCGTGGCGATCGCCATTTTTAGAGAGGTCCAAGTAATTAGGTGGTTTGCAAAAGAAGAACGGCTGGTTTCTCTTGGGAAAAGTCCTGCGGTCACCGCTTTGTTCCATTGGAAGTCGTGAAATCCGGGTCGGCGTCGTGCGCGGGTCGGCCGGAAATCTCAAACGCCAGGTCTGCAGCAGGAGATGGCGCCCTTCTGGGCACCCCTGGACCCTCAGGAGTTCCGAGTGCTGCAGGAGCTGCTGCAGGCTGGCAGGTTTTTGGGCGCCGCATCTGGGGATTTTTTTTTGGGGGGGTCCCCAGAAATGGAGTTTTCGGGGGGTCCGTTCGGACACGGAAGAACCGGTCTTTCAAAAAGCAAATGCTAGGCAGCGATCAACTGAAATGTCAAGCAGCTATTAAGCTGGAAAGCTCGATCGATTGGGGACTCGCTCATCCATGTTTGGGCCAGTCTTCTCATCTCCTCCCGTATCAAGAGTGAGTTTGATGGTTTTACCTGGAGCCTCTCAAGAGGCGGGGTGGCCTTGCTTGTGGTTTCAGGCTTCTACCTGGTGCTTCCCCCCTTTTTCAGAGGTGGGGTAGAAAAGGTTCTCCCTCAAAAGTGGGAATCAAATAGAAACCTGGCGGAGGTTGGCGTCGTGCGTCTCCCAAAGTGAGAAGACGATTTATTGGGACACCCCCCAATCCACAGGGCTTTGCTTTGCGAGTCCCAAGTATGATTCATGGGTGGCCGCACCTAGGTCAAATGAGCCAAACCCCCATGGAGTTTTCATCCAAGCAGGAGCGGCTGCCCATTCTTTAGCATCAACTTTTTTTGGAGGGGTTTCGGGGAGAACCCAGCGCACATTTCGGAAAGAACGGTGCCACGGAAGAACTCGGCAAATCACCATCCTCACCTTGAATGCGTCTGAGCTCGGCAAGGGTGGGGTCTGTCCTTTTTCAGGGGGACCCCCCAAAAATGTGGTCGTTCCTCCTGGTGTTCCTTCCAAACCAACTAAAAAGGGGTACCAATATTGGTGCCGCGCCTTGGCGAAGGGCACCCACGCTTTCCAACCCTTGGTATGTTAGCCAACAAAAACGTGGGTTCTTTGCAGCCCCCTTCTAATGAACAGAACCGAGCAACTAAAAAGCATGCCAAGAACAGCAAAGGACGCCCAAATCGGCCCCAGCCCAAACATTTTCTAAGTGTCAAAAACATTGCCTTGGTCGAAGCAACCTTTGACATTTGACTTGGGCTTAATGGAGATGGTCGTGAGTTTGGTTTTTTGGTTTTCGGATGTCAGACAATCATTGGGGTTCCTCATAGGAGAGCTCCAGAGCCGCTCGCCGGAAAGCCGCTCAAGAAGAGCGCAGGGACTGGTGTTGTCTTTGCTCTGTCCTTATGATAATATGGCTGTGGATCAACACCGTCTTGGGATCCCATTTTGGTTGGTAGGTGAATTCACCACCCATTTTAGAACCTATCTTAGCGGGGTTGGGATGTTCACTGGGGGGACGGGCTTTTGACCCACAGCCATATCTGCTAGCTATCACACAACCCTGCGGTTCAAGCAAGGGTCAAGAGAAGCAAGCAAGGCAGCCACATGTAGAAACATGACCACGCATTTGGTCCTGTTGGGAAATGTCGGAGACTGTGTCTATATAGGCGTTGATCGGTATTCCCTTCGGCCCAAACGACCATGGATAACGTTTCCCATTTAGTGCAGTTGAAATCTCAAGTATCTTGTGTGGTTTCCCAACCACTGGTCATCCCCATGTAATTCAATCACCTTTTGATGAACCCCCCTATCAGAGTCTCCCTTTTGCCCCACTTGGGGCTTCCAACTCGGAGACTTCGATCGCCAGGCCTCCCTTGGCCAAGGCCCCAAGCCGGAGACAGTGCGGCCACAGCTGCAGGCGAGCAATCAGTCGCTTTTTCGGCTTTCCGGGCCGGAAGCCGCAAATGATTTGCCAACCTGCCCAAAGTTCAAAATCAAGCTGGACCCGTCGGACAAAAGAACGTCCTTTGTTGGAGTTGGTACCCCCCATCTTTTGGCTGGTTGAAGGGAAAGGAGCAGGAAAGCCCTCGTTTTGGTGTCCAGCATGAAAGAACGGCATCCCCCGAAGGTCGGCCAGGGCAGCGTTGATTGCATTGACGCGGCTTTCCAGGCCCAGGAGCAATCTGCGCAGCAGCGGGTTTGCCAGGAAGATCCCAGGCAAGAGAGGCGGGAGATGTCTCCGGTGAGCTTCTCGTTGCCAAGAGCGGGGGAGACACCCAAGGAATGGTGGCACAGTTAGGCTCCTTCTTCAACTACAATACACCAGCACATACCAACAAACAAGTCTACAATTCCAATGTCTACAGGTGCTTGTCTTTTCTTCTTGTTTTTTCTCCCCGGCTTCGCCAGGCTGCGTCAGTGGATGTACAGGGAAGCGGCCTGTAAGATCGTTGAGCAGAAGCCAGCCGCGCGCCTGGGAATTGAAGCACCTGTTGTTTATGCAGAGCTGCGGATGTGGTCAACATCTATGGTCCCCGTGGGAGCACATGGAGCTCACTAAATGTCCAGCGGCCCACAGGTATCCTTTATAGCTAGATGGTTCTCAGTAGGCAATGAGTTGGAAACAACTCTAAGTGCACCATCCCAAGTGTCCTTTTGCTGAGAGCCAGTCTACTGTCTACTGTCTACTGTCTACTGTCTCACGAAATCATGGCAGCCAAAGTCCCCATGGAAAACCAGGTCCAGCGCCAATGTTCCAATCCTCACGAAGAATCTGGTTGATGGTCTCAGGCAAAAGGGCAAAGCAATAATTCAGCAGGCGGTCCCGAACTCAATGTCTGAGAGTGGGACAGGCACTCCTGGTATGCCCGCTTGTTGCTTAACCTCATCACCCTCGGTTGCCACGGTTTTTACAGGTTCTCTTTGTGTGATGGTTGAAAGCGGCATGCGAGAAATCCGAGTCACAAGAGCCCCAGGCGACTGAGCTGAGGCGCTGTACAACTACTTCTTCCATCGTGACAGGAGCAAGGACGGCTTCATTGAGGTGCCCAGCGGCGGAAGCGCCGGTGGAATCCTGCAAGTCCCAGACACGTTGATGCTTTGACGCTGAGAAATGTTTGAAAAGGCAGGGTTGCCGCAAAACAGGATATGGAACCCCCAATAGTGAGCGGTTTTCTTTTGGCAGCCTCAAAAAAAGAACACACCCTGTTGAGCTGCCTTTTTGTTTGTTTTTAGGGGTCCCGGGCGCTTGTTCAGTCGTCCAATCTTTAGGAATACAATTTCAAAAGGGGACCTGGGCCTGTCACACAATCCAAACCGCTGTGGGTAGGGTCAGAACTCGGGGCGGTGTCCTTGCCACGGACAAAATCACACCTGGTCTTTTGACTTAAACATGCGTAAACAAGGGGGTTGGCAAAAAATATAGGTGTTCCTTCCCCGTGTTTCGCCCGAATTTTCCCCTTGGCCGGCTGCAAAGTCCGCCTCTCCGCACGCCCGTTCGAGGTGCAGCACTGGGCGCGGGGCTGCCATCAGATCCTCGGGGACTTGGGCTGGGACGCCCTCAGAGAGATCCTCGCCGTGGAGGAATCCGGAATCCAATCCCAACGGCAGGGCTTTGTCCCGTTTTGGGCGTCGTTTTATTCCGGTACCACAAATGGTGTTTTTGTTTTCCCTTTGACTTCTCTTTGGCGTTTTTGTTTTTTCCTTTGGCTTCCCTTTGGTGTTTTTTTCCCCTTTGGCTTCCCTTTTGTGATTTCGGCATGACACCAAACGCTTTTCCAACGGCCACCTCTTGGCTCAAGAAACCGACAGAGTTGGCCTGGCGACAAATTAACGCAGGGACAAGTGTGAAATACCCAGGGCGCCGCTCCGCGGCATCCCTTTTGGCTTGGCGTCGGCTTCACGCTGGGTTTCCCCAATCTCAACTGCAACAATCTCTCAAATCTTTTCCGAACCATCTTCACTGAACCACTTGTCACCTCACACTCTTGATTGGTTGGTTGCAAGTGTTTTGCCCACTGAGTAGTTCGAGACTAGGGATAGTTCACAATTTGTGTCTGTGCTTGCTATGTTTTGCCTTGGATCCGTGTGAATCACACCTTCCAAGCCACCCAGGGGCGCCAACTCCAAAAAAGATGACCCATACTGTGCATGGACGAAATCCATTTCGCACCACTTTGCAACTATGGGAAGCCGCTGTCTGTTGGATGTTACAGGGGAATCGAATCCTTCCAGGCTTTCTTAGGTGGTGCGAAATGGATTTCGTCCATCCACAGTGTTTCCCCTTCAACATCACCCGACAAGGAGTTTTAACATACTGTGGATGAACGCAATCCTGCACCACCTGACAAACCCTGGAATGATGATTCCCCTGTAAATACCAACAAGCAATGGCTTCCCATGGTTTCAAAGTGGTGCGAAATGGATTTCGTCCATGCACAGTATGTTTTGTCAACGTGGTCCCCGGGCCATCCGGCTCCGTCGGCTTTTGGTGATTTTCAGTTTGCCGAGACACCGTGGATTTCTTGGCATGTCCAAAGAACGCAACTCACTTTGGACAACATGTTTCACATGTCTTTTAGTGTTTGGCTCAAGGTGCTGTTCCAATAGCCCCCAGACCTCGAGCGGGTTGCTCCCTTTTGCCCCTTTGTTTTGGGTGTGGGTTCCCTTTCAAGCAGAGGTGGTCGTTTTTCTCCACAGTCTTCCAGCACAGCTGCCTGGGATGTTTTCCGCGCGATTGACTCAACAATCATTTTAGTGATTTGTAGCTGTGCAACGGTTGTACCCCTAACCTTTCTTAGAGGCTACGCATTTCATGGGAGATGGGAGTTGGGACAAGAGATTCGGGACTTGGGAGGCTTCCCGGTTCTGTGATCCTTAGATTGCAGAGTATTTAATGCGGGTGCAGAACTGCTTGAATTCAATACCCTACTTGGAGCACTGGAACTGTCCTAAACGCGGTGCCAGACTTGGTTTTTTTTGTGTAGATGTCCTTCTGTAGTCTTGGTCGATTTAGCTGAAAACCTCTGGTGGACTCACACGTCAAAGACCATTCCATGGTCCCAGGTCCCTTGTTGTGCATATCCGCTAGAAGATTGTGTCTTTTGTTCAGGGTGCCCCCAACATGGTCTTCTTCCTGTTGGTTCCCTTGCCACACAACAAGGGTTACCTTCTCCAAAAAAGACCCCTCCTTGGTGGCTCCCAGCCATCCCCTTAGCTTTTAGCTTTTTAGTGTTTGGGGATTTCCATTCCAAGAAGTTAAGCTTTTAGCGGGGGATCGGAAAACCGCTCCGTAGCTGCGTCCCTTTCCGAAGTCGCTCCGCAGGAGATGGACTCCAACTTCGTGGACTACGTGACCTTCCTGCGCCGGTTCCGCGGCTTGGTACGTGAACCTCGGACGCGTGGAACCGGAACTCACTCCCTGAGTTCCCGGTTCGGGCTCGAGTCACTTTTGGGGGTTGGACACCATAGTAGTGGCAAACAAAAAGTTTGGATTGTTGTTTGGCCTATCCCACTCAGGAAGTGAGTAAAGGAACACCATGAGGAGAGCCACCATTTTGGGGGGGGTCCCCTATAAACATGCACACCCATATGTTTCATGGCAGGAGGAATAATTAAGACAGACTCACAAAACGCCTGCAATACATGAGCATAGGGATATGGCTATGATTTTTAATAGGGAACCACCTCAAAAACGGTTGGGGGCTGGGGGACCTTTCATCCCCGCCTAAGTTTCGCGCTCATGTTTTGCAGACCGAGTTTTTGGGGGAATCAGGTGTTGTTTTGTTTTAATCCAGTCTTATATTATTGTTCAGTAGCACCGAACATATTTGTGTAACCAGACCTGTGAAGCTTCTCCCTTTTTGAAATGTCCGTTGTTTCTCAAGGAAGTAACCCAACCAAACAGCAAACCATCGGAATTCACAGGGACTCCCTTGTTCCCTACTTGCTCCCTACTTGCAACATTCAGGGCATCCACCCATTTTGGGCATCCACCTTTCCCCATGATGAAGGTCCTTTACTGGTTGGGGGTATGTTATGTTCGGTTGGGATTTTTGGGTCGTGCTTCCCAGAAATTGGCCCTTTAACCTACGGGGAAGGTCACCTCAATGGGGAAATGTGGGGAAATGTAGGGCCAGGTTGTCCTTCTATCCCCAAGTAGAATCGTTTTCACGTAGCAGGATTGTTTAGAGCCCCAGAAAGACGTAGTTTGGGACGTATGCAGGCAATGCGAGGAGGGGGATATGTTCTCTCCCCCGGCCTCCTTTGGTCACATTTTGAGGAAAAATAAAACCGCCATGTTGTGCATTGATAAAAAGTAGGATGGCGCAATATCGGATTGAGCCATCCACTTTTTTCCTGCAAGCCGGTTGGCGAAAATTCCGGCCCAAGCTTCGGACGTTGGAAGGAATCCACCAGCAAATTTGATCCACTTGTTGAATCGGGCCATCCAGTGACGTTTGCCCTGGAATCTTCTAACCCTTTGGCATCCTTCCAAGCCAGATTGGCAGCTTCCTTTGCAGGCTATCCCAGTCTGTTCTGATCAAATCAGCGCAAGGCGTGTTTCCCGCACTCGGTTACTTTATGCCTTCCACGAAACAATGGAAGTGCACAATCCCCTAGGCTGGGGAAAGGCGATTTGTGTGCTTCCACGTTTGGGGTACTTGACTGGATTCATGCATCAAGCTTCACCTGCACGTGTCAAACACGGCTGTCTCAAAGCTTTGGACACCCCCCGCCCCCCGCCAAAAAAACACACACACACACACACACACAAAATGGACACCCCCCCCCTTCCAAAAAAAACAAAAGGGACCCCCCAAAAAAAACAAGACACACTGCTTTCGGTGTCCTTTCGGCTTCCTTTGGGTTTGGCCTTTAGCAAGCTTTTAACAGGTGGGTACCCAGGTGTAAACCTCGAGGGCAACGAGGTCTCCGAGCGATGGGCCGAGGCCAACGAAACGGAAAGCGCCGGAGATGGGTGGCTGTTGTTTTTTTTTGAGGGGACTCCTTTTCTTTCTGGTGCGATAGGTAGGAAATGAGGGAATGCACCGGGGGCTTCCCTTGAAGGAAACCACAAGGGATGGTTTGTGGGGGTCATTCCCTCATTCCCTCATTCCCTAGCAAAAGGAATCCCATCCAAGTGATTTGAGGGAAGCCCTTTTTTGGGTCCTTTTTTTTTTTTCGGACAATTAAAGAACAACTGGCAATTGATGGCTCCCGAAACCCCTTTTGGTACTCCCTTTAAGATAGTTTCCTTGAATCACTGTCACTGCGCGACTTCCTCCATTCCTTTTTTGGAACCTCGGAAAGTGGTGATTTTGTTTCGTTTGGGAAGCCGCTAGCGAAATGCACATTTGATTCGGGGAATCCAGTGACCTAGCCGGCTTCAGCCTTCCCCACTGCAGTGAATCTTCCCCTCCGTGTGTCTTTTTGTTGATGCTAGCCTTTTTGGCGAGTTTCTTTCTTTTCTTGCAGGGACCCCTGAAAGGGGAAAATCCGAAGCGATGTTTGACTTGGGGAATTGTTGGTGACTGCTGTAGCCAGGATCTGGTGAACCGGGTCTTCAAGAGGCTGGGTCAGAGTGATTGGCCTCTCGAGCAAATCCTCCGGACTTTTGACCGCGATGGCGATGGCCGCTTGGCGCAGTCGCCTTCTTCAGCGTTTTATATGTTTTTTTGTTTCTCCTGTTTTCTCTTGCCTGGAACCCGAAGCAACCATTTAGAAATGGGGCTTGCCCCAAAGAGCCGCTCATCTCTGAATAGACCTTGCCGGACAACAGTTTGGGAAACCTCCAAACCAGCGGGCTCCAAGACACTCTTGAGGCTGCAAAATAGACCTGGTGGGTCTGGTCGTGCCTTTCAGGAGGCCGTTGCTTGCTTGCTGGCTTGTTGGGGTTGTTGGCTTGCTTGGCTTGTTTATTTGGTCCTTTCATTTTCAAGTTGCCTTGTCAATTCCTGCGCATGGAGAGTCTAGACACTGCAAGATCCTGCTCATACTTGCCTCGCGCCGTAGCAGTTGATGTTTGGTATTTCCTGGTGGCTGTCAGGCTTGCTTCACCAGACCATCATGTGATTCAGTTCGAGCAAGAAATCAAAAGTCACATGATTGTCAGGCCCTCCCCCTCCCCCCCCCCCCCCCCCCGCCCTCCAAGAGGGACCCCCCAAAACAGGCCAAAGTGAGTTCCAGCCCTAACCTCGGCGGTTCCCAGCCGTCCTTTTGGTTGGTTTGGTGGTAGTTTCCATTTAAGGGATCGGAAAACGCCAATCACCATCTGACTTACGATCCCGGATCATTCCACGACTTGGTGATTCCCAGCCAGCAAGTTCATTTGTGTCTAGGATGTAAAAACAACTGGGGACCAAGGGTAAACCAAGGGTAACTGTGGAACACCTGCAAAAGTGGGGACACTGAGAAACCAAGGAATAAACCAATAGGGGAAACAACCAAGGGAATGCAGCAGGGTTAAGGGACAACACCCTTTTTGTGGATGGGAGAAGGGCAAACTGTCCGCACGGTGGAAATCCACTTTGCCCTTGCGCCGAGGCACCGTGACAGCAGCAGAGCTGAGGCCTCGCAAGTGGTTCCTCATCCTTACCACGAGGGTTTCCAGCCATACGCATCCTTGGACTAGTTTACTTGACTGTTGTTGGATCAAGGTTTTGGGTTTTATGTTTTGGGGTTCTTCTCATTTTTTCGCGGCCGCAAGAAACTTAAAGAATTTGCAAGCCCATGCCAAGGGTTGTAAAGTTTAGATATTCCATTTAGCTGACATGATTATGTGTAGTTTCTCCGGGTTTCAAAGAGACTCTAGCACTGGTGATATGTGTTTCTGTTTCCAGGGGGCTTAAGCAACTGGAGATGTTTCGAGTTTGGATTAAACAGGGCTCCCTATATTTCCCTTGGTGGTGTTAAAGATTACCTTTTTGGTCCATGAAAGGTGAGCCCTTGGTGGGAGTGATGTTTTAAGGGGAAATCTTGGGAGCCCTGTTAAGGTTCTTCTCCACAAGTCTGAAACTTTCAGCGGATCGAAGCTTCTGTGCGGCTCCCGATGCTTGTTTCCCGCTGAAAAGCCGCACCCTGGGAGCTCATGGAAGGCTACAGCCGAGTCTTTCGGTCCCCCAGCAATTGGTGCCAGCTTCTACCGATCTTCTTTTTTGGGTGGGAGGGTTCGGGACCCTAAAATAGACCACATGAAAAAGGGTACCAACTTATTCTAAGCTCTTTACTGGAGGACCTAGCAGCTGAGTCTTTCTTCGGCTGTAACCACCCGGTTTTTGTTTAAAGGCAGAAGGGAACATGAGGCTCACTCGTCTCCCCTGGCCATGTTTCTCTGGAGCAGAAAAGGTGCTCGCAGACGAGCTGAACACTGGACAGATCGCCATGCGGAGAACTGAGTCAATCCAAGTGTGTTGCTTTCGACATCTTTTGACCCTTTGACCTGGTTTCCACTTGGTACATTTGGGTCTGTCTTTTTTAGACCCCCCCAACAACAAAAAATGTGGTCAATACTACCCAAGAAAGGTACCAACTCCAAAACAGACACATGGCAAAAGGTCAACTCACTCCTTGGGTCATTGCTGCAAAAATTGGCTTTCCGCCAGCCAGGGACGCTCTTGCGGACCTCAACGTGGGCATCACCCGTGCACAGGCAAGCTGTGTGTGTTTGTGTGTTTGTGTGCGTGCGTGTGTTTTTGTGGTTCGATCGTGGGTTCGGCAACGCCCCGTTAAGTGGCACGTGTTTTTTTGGTGTTTTGTTTTTTTCTTCGTTGTTTAGTGGTGTGTGTGTGTGTGGTTGGTTCTGTCCATGTTTAGTGGGGGCTGCAAAAACAACGAGTTTGTTGCTGACATACCAGAAATTGTAGCATCTGGCGCCGAAATCGGGCCACACATGCGGACACCTGCCAGCCATGCCTTGAGTCTTGGCGTGCCAGCGGTTGTGTCCGGTGTCATGCATGGTTTCATGTTCGTGGTGCGAGCGGAGTTCGCAACCATCTTTAGTTGGCATCCACCGTATTTTTCCGCAGGGGCCATGGAATGGAACCTTTTGGTTCCGATGCGAATCCGGTTGACCAGCCCCACTGTTCAAAGGCATTACAGTTCGCTTTGGACCTCCAAAAGTGGGTCGACTTGTTTTTGTTGGATCCCAGTTAACTGATCATTTTTGGGGGAAATCCAGTGACTCCTGAGTTTAATTGGGGGTTCAGCCGTTTACGGAAGGAACTTGGGTTGCCCTTGACAGGGCTCCAGCGAAGGTTTGAATCAGCATGATCGATGACCGGAGCATGCTGTGAGCGCAGGATTCGTAGGTCTGATCGGCCAGAGAATTCCAGGCCGAAAATCCTAGAAGGTCATCAAGCATTACAGCAGCCTTTGCAAGGATTCCAATAAGGAAGGCCCAGGTCCTGTATCATAAATAAGAAACTGTTTGAAAAGGATACCATGTATGTAGGCCGAATCCGTCCCAAAAAAAGCAATTGTATTTCTTCCTGCAAAGGGGGCAGGCACCATTTCTGCAGACCGGGTGAAGTTTGCTAGGATTGCTCCAAGCCGCGCAAGAAAATGGGCGAACGGTTTCATGTGACTTGTCGAGTCACGTTTCCACGTTCGGGCGGGCAGTTCCAAGACCCAGTGGCGATCGGGCCGAACGGGCGCACTTGATCCGGTCCCAGGCTGCTTCCCTCCTGCAGACGATGCACCAGCATACCAAGCGGTCCGCGTCCAGCCGAGGAGGGGGTCGGGAAGTGGACATCCGGACCCAAAAACCGGTTTGGTTCCTTTTTTGACCGAGAAAGTGGTGCCTCCTGGATGTTGTTTTTCTCCAAGGCAATCAATTCTAGTGATACTTCATGTCAATGACTTGGTTCCACATCATCGCTTCCACAGGGTACCTTTGTTTTTAAGCCACCCGGAAAAGGATATCCCCAAGAAGCCCCTGTCTGAGATTTGAAGGGGGCAGGGTTGAAACCACAAGGATGTAAAGTCGGCGGGTCCTGTTGCTTTCCTTTTCCAGGGTTGAATCGTCTACCTTTTGTGAGCCCATCGAAAAGTACGGTGAAACAAAGGGCACCAGGCTATTTGACCACATATAGACTTCAACAGCCAGCTAGGCTTCAGCATTGGAAGGTTGGCCATTCCAAAACGGGCGCGGCGTTTTTGCTAGACGTCGGCCACTGGGGTTATTGATTATGAAGCAATTTGCTTTTAGCGCAACCCGCTTGAGTATGCACAAGCACTGGTTTATCACTATGTATCACCATGTTCTTTGAGCCTACATGTGACTGGCCAACATCTTACGGCCAGAATAGTTCAGGGATTCAGGCGTTGGCGGTTCTGACAAGATGGTGACCCCCTTTTGGAACCTGAACCACTCACATGTTTGTAGGGGGTCCCATTTAGTCGGGCGTGCATCAAGAGTCAACTGTCCGGCCTCCGTCAAGAGGAGTTTGAAGCACCAGTGAGGCCTTGAGGCTTCATATTCAGCTATGTCTCTCAATGTTATCCGAAGGGTGTGCCTCTCACTGAGGGAACTCACAATGGGTGGAGTTGCCTTGGTTACCCTTTAAAGAGCCGTAACAACAAGGGCCTTTCCCCCCAAGAAAAAATAGCCAAGATTAAGATCGGGGGCCAAGAGTGAAACGGAAGGTGCTCGCGACAGGTGGCATTTGCATCACCTCCTTCCTCTCGATCTTTGAGATGGCGTGCCTTGACATTCACATGTCGCCATGGAACCTTCCAAAACTGTGAGTCTAAACGGGGCGTGTCTCTAGGGGAACCTCCAAATGGGAGATCGGTCTCCCAGCAGCCCCCTTAGCTTTTCAGTTGTTTTTAAGGTGTGGTGGTAGTTTGCCGTTTCACCCACTCAAATTTAACATTTCAGCCGGGGATCCGGGAAAAAAAAAAACAAAAAACGGACAGCCCAGGGCCCGTTGATTCGTTGATCGCCCGAAAGGTTCCGGGGTGACACGCTGGCGCTGCGCCCGTCGAAGCTGAGGTTTCATCCCATGGCCAGCCGGGACGTGCCGGCCTGGGTCACCTGCGCGCTCCGGGAGTTCGGGAAGACCATCTGGAAGGCCGGTGAGGCGCGGGGGCACTGGGAGGAGCTTCCAGAACTTCCATTGGCTCAATGTTTTTTCATGTTCCGCTTTTGTTTTTCTTAAAAAAAAGCTCAGATAAGCTCAGGTGATATCCCCAACAGCATGCGGTGGAACCCTGGTGGAACCCTCGTGGAACCTCGCCTCAGGGCCGCCCCGGACCCCGGAGCCTATCTGGGCTGAGACCCCAAAGCTTTCAGCTGTTGGGGCAAAATCTATCACCACTGGAAATATTTCATTTTTTCCAGGGGTCATAAACAAATGGAAGAGAATGAATTGGTCGGAAGGTCTGGGAAGTCGCGAAATGGGCTGGTCTCTTTGTCTAGGCGACCCCTCCAAAGTGTTGGTCTTCACTGGGGTTTCCCTTTAGATCCGCCCAAAAGCGGGGACCACCACAAAAAGGGCCCACCCAAGAGTCAACCGGGCCAAGTATAGACGGATTTGTCTATCCCAAAATGGGAGGGGCGAGACTGGCAATGACCCCATATTTTGTTGATGAATAGGGGGTGTTCCCCTCCAAATGTCATGAATCCGCAGGGAAAACCAGGGACACCCACATATTAATAAGCAGGGGTTTGTTAATATATGGCGTCAACATGAACGAGATCTCGAACTTTCAACTGGGGACCTCGCTCAAATTCCCATTTCCGAAATTGGGCGTTTTCAAAACGAAAATTCCGTGGCCGTAGGCAGCTTTGGTTTTACCTGGCGTTGTGGTAGTAAGACCTACTGAGGATGGTTGCAAAATCCGCTTCTCGCACCAGATTGAATCCATGGGAAACCATTTTTTGTTGGTACGGAGAATCATTCCAGGGTTTTAGGTGGTTCAAGATTTCGTCCATCCTCAGTATGTACTGACCATGTCGATACCAACACCAAAGGTCCATTTTTGGGCCCTGCTTATTCGACAAATGATTGGTAGTGCACTGTTGCTTTGGGAGGACGAGAAGGAGGACAACCCTAATTCCAACCACAACGGCCGTGGGGCCATAATTTTTCTACATCCTCTTTGGGTTAGAGAATTGTCTGGTCACATGGCCATTGGGAGCCACACAAAACCACAGCGGGTTTGAAAGAAGATGAGAGGGAAATCACATTGGGGTTGATCAATATGTCTGGCCCGCAAATGACCATGGGTAACTTTTCCCATTTAGTGGTTGACAGTCATCATCTTTTCCTCGTGGTTTCCCAATGGTCCTCCCATGTATCTCGGACTGTTTGATCAACCCGCACATCCAGTCGCATGGCAAGACTCCGAATGAAGGCCTCCAGGCCTCAGGCGACCACGCTCAAGAGAGCTGGCGAAAGAAGCTCGGGAACGGAACTTGTTTTTTCCAGGTCCAAGCAGTGTCAAGGTTGACCTGAAGGAGATGTTCATGGCTTCCCTTGTATGCTGTCTGAACGGTTTGGCTCTTCTATAGCCGTTGTTCTTTTGTTTGTTTGACGAAAGCCAACCAGAAGTCGGACGCTTGCCAGCCATACAACTAGGGACTCCTGAATCCCGATAGCGGCTGATAGCGACTGACAAGGCCTTGTTTTGGAGCTAGTACGGTTCCTGTTGGGTGACTTTGTTGGGGGGTCCAATTCCTGTTTGGGGAGGGGGGCCTGACAACCTTGGAAGTCTAAGTATATGGTCTCAACATGGCGGACCCCCCTTTGGCTTGGTGCTAGGGAAATAGAAAGTAAGCAATTCTCTGATTGAAGCACTTAGAGCCGGTTTTTGGAGACCATTATACATGGTTGCTTCCGCGTGAGAAGCCATATAAGGGGGGGGGGGGGTCGTTTGTTTTGCTACCCACTTGTTTGGTGGGTTTTACAGGACAACCAGAAGCTCTAGAAGGAACAACCCCAGTTTTGGAGGTCCAACCTGAAAACATGACGGGCTCCAACCTTCCAAAAAGGACGGGGGTCTCCCCTAAAAAGAGAGACCCCCCCCCCCCAAAAAAGACAGAAATGGGTGTGGCTCAAAATTAAACAGGAGGGGCAAACCGCAGGTTTTGGTACCCATGTTTCCACTTACCGATCGGGCAAGCGATTTTGGAATTTTCCGGTTTGACTTCGCCACCGCCAAATGGGAAGCTCCGGAAGCTGCCGAAAGTTTCGACTCTGCCAAGAGGAGGGCGCCATGAGCTTCTTCAAGGCCTCCGACGTGGACCAGAACGGCCGTTTGTCCCTCCCCGAGCTGGCGACGGCGGGCTTCGGGATGCTTCGGGGCTTCGGGGCTTCGAGAAAATCGGGGTTGGCCGGGAAGCGGGGGGGGAATTGGGGGAAGGGGTTGGTGCCCCACATGGACTCAGTGGACTTGGCGGCTCCCAGCCATCCGGGTCCTCAGCTTTTTAGGAAGCGTTTAGTGGTAGTTTCCGTTGAACCCACGAAAAGTGAGGCTTTTAGCAGAGGATCTGAGGGCAGTGGGGAATCAAAACCTGGGTAAGTGAAGGTTAGTAAGGGCCAGTCCCAACCATAAATAGTTGCGGCCGCCTTCTTGATTCTTTACATGGTTCTGGGTGGACCATTCTCACACCCAGTGGGCTTGTTTGGCTTCAGCTGTTGGAGAGGACGCCTCTTAAAAGTCTAGCAAAAGGGCAGTTCTTTCGGAGCGCAGCCTTCAGAATCGGGCAACCAAGGCCGTGCCTTTTGTATATAGAAATCCGCCCTCAGAGGGGGGGGGTGTGGTGGTTACGGCTTAATTAGTTTGAGGAGTTCAGACTTTTTCTGGCCAAACGGAAGTGAGACATGGCATCATGGGCCCAACAGTTTCACGCGTCATGATATTGCGGTTTTATGGTCATTGGCTCAATCATTGTTTCAAGTACCCCACAACCCGACTCCAAATTGGATTGTAGGTAGGTGTCCAAAGCTCTGAAAATCTCAATCACGTGGGCAAGGACAGCCAGCTGACCTGGGCGGGAAATTCTCAACGATTCGGAATCGGGGTAAAGCCCCATGGCTGGAGAAACGCGACCAGAATTCCTGGCCTGGGGAGGGCATGTGCCCACCCACATGTTCCACAGCTCGGAGACCATTTCAGCGGCCCATTTCCCTTTGTGGAGTCTCCAAAAGCGGCCGTTCGTTTCTTTATGGAAAAACCAACGAGCAACTTGCAACTTTTGAAGGGGAAGTACAGGTTTCCCCATTTAAAAAAAAGCACAAAGTTTCCCCAGTTCTGGTGGTCAAGGCTGAAGCCATTAGTGTGGGGGATAGGGGTCCCTATGTAGGTATGTGTCAAATTAGGGGGACCCGCAAAATGATTGTGTTCCCCTTGAGCCAACCCTGAAAATGTCCCTCAAAAAACACATGCCATATCTCCCCTTTTCAATTTGTTGAGCATCGCTTTCTGGGGCCGATTCTAAGCAAACTGCTTCTGGGCGGGTGATGTGTCACAAAGATCGGGATCCCGGCCTGAAATGTTCTTGTGACGGTTTGGCAGAGTTGCGGTGGACTCCATTCACGGCGAGCAAATGAGCGATCATAGTTGCCTGCAAATGTTTGCAACATTTGGGGTTCACCGTTTTGTGGACAACATGTTGGGATTCTGGAAGGGCGCGAGTGGTCCAATTTATTGAGGGAAGCGATCACGCATCATGCAAGCCTTGACGCAAAAACATGTCCTCACTCAGGAGCACATGGACCATGGATCAAGGATAATAGTTGTTTTGTGCCCTTGTCGTGCCACGAACAGAATATAAACAGTACACACCCCAGGCAGATTGTCAGAAGGTTGGTAGTGGGACATGACATGGTCCCAACATATCTTCCCGCAAAGAGCCAAAGGTGGTGAAATCAGCTGTTCTGCTGGGTGATCTTTGGATTGGTAGCTAATTAACACAGTTCCCAAACATATTTCCCCGGGCCCGGGTGGCTTTAAACATCACCCCTTCACGCTAATGTGAGCCCTCCCCGCCCAAAACACAGAAGTGAGGTTTTCTTTTTGGCGTCCTTCTAAAACCACCGACCAAAAATTTGGTACCCCCAAGGGCCCAAGTGGTGTTTTAAGCATCACTCCTAGGTCCTATGCTGGGCTTCCTTTTCGGCTTAGATCGGAGGCTTTAGAGCAGCTGGCCACAACGTACGGGCTGAAGGATGTTGTAGGCTCCAGGACAGGAATCTTCCGTGTGCCGGTTTTTGGGCTCGGAGGAGAGGGGGGGCTTGACTCCTATTTTGGGAGCCGCCAAAATGGGGCTTGCGGTGAGTTCTGAAATTCAGAAATACGGAACATAGGCGCCCGCAACAAAATGACGAACCTGGGCTATTTGGACAGCCATATTGCTGGGCGTGTTAAGTTAGTGTTGGTTTTGCGGAGCCTGTTGATCGGTGTTGAGAAGTCCCTTATCATTTTGTGGCCGTAATATTGTCGGTTGCTTGTTTGTTGGTTGGTTTCATCTTTCATTTCTGCTTTCAAAAAACATTGTGTGTGTAGTTCTTCTGCGGAACATCCTTAGCGGACGGAAGCGTTTGTGCCAATACAGGTCTTGTTGGGAGTGACACGTGTGATGTTTTAAGGGTTACTCATTGAGTTGCTGAGAACAAATGGGGTGATGTAACATGATGTAACCAGAGGGGGGGGCACGTGAGGAGCCGGTTTAATCCCTGGGACAACAACATGAAACCCAGACAGACGCTGCCCCAAAAGGAGATGCCTCTAAGCATGCTGTCGAGAAAGGCTTGGCAAAGGAGGGGTATTTGTTTTCAGATTTCTTGCTTCTTGGCTTTTCGGCTTCTTGGCTTCTTCTCCTTGTTGGTTTATGCGGCTTTTGGTGGCTGTTTGGCTTTGGCTTTTCGCATCCTCTGCATTCCCAGTTCCTCTGCTTATGCACCCTTTTATTGGTTTTTGGCTTTGGCTTCCCGCATCACCAGTTCATCTCCGGCAAGTGTTCTTTATATTTATGTTTATGTATGTCTACACTTACTGTATGTATGTCTGTATGTATGCACTTTTTCGCACATCATAGGGAAGCCACCCCCCACCCGCTGTTAAAAAAGAAAAGAAAAGCGCACCCTTGAATCTTTGCACCCTGACTTGAATCATCACTTCTTCGAACATCATGGGGGGCTGCCCCCCCCCCCCCCCCCCCCGCAACCCCGCGACGGGAACACCCCGCGCTCGAACGCAGGCGTGCAAGTTGCTCGCAGGGGTGCAACACATCACCCTCAAAAAGGGCTTGGAAAGTATAGGGCATCGCCTACTACGTGGGTACGTTTCCGAACCGCGCATGAAGTGCATACCTATGGACCACGCAGTGTCTAGGACCCTAGGCGGGATTCTTGCCTTGCGTTTCCGAGGCTTTCTCGGCCGTTTGCTGAATCTGCAGAATTATCGTCTCCATTTTTGGTGGTTGCCGCGAAATCTGCACGCGCCAGCGCGCACGTCCGGTGCCAATCGGTTCTGCGACAGTTCGAAATGACACCGCACTGCTCGGAGACCAAATCCCACCCGTCCTAGAAGCACAATCCCGCTGGCACAGCGACCGCCAGGCAGCGCTTGGAAACCAAATCCCATCAACACGGCTCCGATCCCGGAAGCAGAATCCAGAACTGGCCGCCGGCGGCGCCGGTGACTTCCTGCGCAATCCCGGGCAGCAGCCTGCTGCGAAGTGCAGCGCGGAGTTGCGGAGCAAGATGCTTCTTCATGCTGGAATTGAAGAGTGTCACAAGTGGGGCATGAGGGTGCTCTTGGCTGCTCTCGGGTTGAGAGCTGGCTCAAGTCCTTTTCCTGAGGGCCAGTGGAGCCGGGCGAGCCCCCAATTGTTGCAATTCTTGCTATTGGAAGTCATTTCAAATTCAATTCCAAAAGCTGCAAGCGTTGCAAAATCGGGGGCCCCAAGTCTGGCAATTATTGCAATGAATTGCAAAGGGATAGGTGCCTATTTGGAATTCCATATTCTAATTGTTCAAGCTGTTCTAATTGTTCCCGAAGGGACGGATGCCTTTTTTGGTGAAATTCCATGTTCATTTATGCTACCTATTCCGAGTATCGTAGATATTCCGACCTTTCCATAGCCAAAAAGATGCCAATTCATTGATTGCTCTTTTGCCGCCTTTCCCTGGCTGAATGTACCGCACAAAGGCATCAAATCGCATCGAAAAGACATCAAGCTCGAAAAACTGACCTTTGGTTTCTTCTTAGGGCCCTTTCTTTCCAGAAACTGATTGACATTTTGCTTCCTCCCCCTACAGCCTGATAGTCCGACTGTCCTGTATTTAGGAATGATTTGGTGGATATTTCGTACTTGTTGCCAATCAAAGTTTCCTGCTGTTCCATTGGTCCCGATTTCTGCGGTTCCTTGACACCTTGAAGTCGCAGGCTCAGTGAGATGCTCAGAGCACTGTGTTGTCAAACTATATACGTGTAAACCCGTGATATTTCAAGACCTTGTTCAACAATGAGTGGAATAGTACTGGAAAGTTGAGGTCTTGGATTTCAAATCATGAAAAGTAGGCATGCTCTCTTCTCGCTGACCTACCCGTGGGCCAGACGAGCGTGCGGTGCGTGCGTGCGGTACGTACACGGACACGCGCACATACGCACGCACACGCGTGCGCACATTCGCGCGCACACTCAGGACGCGCGCGCGCAGGCACGCGTGCACAGGCGCCATCCACACACACATACACACACACACACCCACACACACACACACTTCCTTCACTGTGCACTTGGCAAGGGGTGGTGGGCCATGCTTGGGCAGCAAGATTGTGCAACAACGACACTATTGGTGCAAAGGTGATGGGCAGGTGGTGCATCCTTGGCCGTGATGATCTCACAGCCTTGGCATCCCAGCACGGTGGGCAAAGCGCTTCAGGGGTGGTACGATCAGCGAGGTGCTTGAGGTGGAACACATCATCGGCAGATGCTTCACATGCAGGGACGAACCTTTTTTCCTTACGGATGGGCAAGTCCTGGTTGCACTCATAAAGGTTGCATTCGCCCAAGTGGTGCCTGGCGTGGCTTTGGTCCATCCATAGTATGTTGAGACACACCCACACGCGCCATGGTCAAAAGACCAGTTTTTGTTTACTCTTGGGTTGAAAATCGTAAGGATCCGAAACTGCCTTGTTGCCTCTCCTGAGCTTGTAGAGGCCATTTGATCCGTTTCCTGAAGCCTTGTCACGCTGAGGCTAGCGGAGCTGTAGCCTCAACATTTCGCGAAGAGTTCGAATGATCCCTTTAAGGGAACCATGACAGGCCAGATTTCGAACGTGGACATGGGTTGATCAATATTCCAGGCCCACAAATGACCAAGGGTAACCTTCCCCATTTAGCGAGAAATCCGATGTATTTCGATGGTTTGAAGAACCCCCATAGTCAGCCCTTTTCGGAGCCCCTTTTGGGTTGGGCTCAGAGGGAACCCAAAAGGAAACAATCCATTTTGGGAGATCCAACCTTAAAAAACAGAACCATACAAGGAAGGAAACCAACCAATGTTGGCAAATCCAAAAAAAACACCCAAGCAAATGGAGTGTTGGTCAACCCCCCGATGAGATTTTTCTCTCAGGACCGAGTTCCTGGAGCTGGCGCGGCACGTGGACCTCAGCGGCGAGGGCTCCGTGAACTACGCGGAGCGAAGCCGCGCTTCGCGAGAGCGCGAGTGGTTTGTACCGATCCCAGCCCCGTTTTCGGACACCAACCCGCTGCCGTGTTTTATCGTTTTTTTCAATGTACAGCTGTTTTCCCTAAATTGTGTCATGGGATGTAGGGTTGATCAAAAGGTCCTTTACATACATGGGCAAAGTTACCCGTGGTCAAACTGCCTTTTGGGGCAGTTTGAAATCAAAGCCTTTCAGCGGGTTTGCCCTGACCCTGCGAAATGCTTCGGCTGAAATAACTCTGAGACAAGAGGTGAGTCTGATGTAAGGAGTTGACCCAATCCCCATGGTAAATAAGAGTGGACAGCCGGACCTGATTTAAAGAGAGACATGCCCAAAATCAACTTCTTTCCATTGTCTTAAGCCCCCTGGAAAACCTAAACATGTCCAGGAGTGATAGATTCCCTTTAAAACCAACGAGGGAAAATCAAAACATAGTCACATAGTCTTAAGCAAATACCTTTGGGGTCGTCCTTGCAGGAGCCATGTTTTCCTTGCGGTTGTACAGGGTCCCTCCAGCATCTCGCTAAGAACAATCAATTCATGTCATGTCCCAAAAACAAACTTTGAGTTCCGTTCACGCGGCGTCTCATTTAAGCCCCCCCCCCCGCCTCCCTTTAGTTGAAAGCCAGAAACTAAGCCAGAAACTAAAGGGCCGGCCTTTGGCCCGAGACCAAACCGGCATCGCTCGTGAGGAGTTTGTAGCCGGGTTCATGCCCGTTGGCCTTCTGCACGGCAGCACCTTCCAGCTGGATGTCATGGAAAGCATTTGTGGCTCAGACTGTGAGATGTTCGGGGATTGCAAGATTTGGGTGTCTTTTTTTTGGAGTTGGCCTTCTTTGGTGGCAAAGGGAGACTAAGAGGAACACGGAAATCTAGTCTGGGTCCCCTAAGACCAACCCATCCGTCTGGGGACCAAAAGGAGAAAGTGGTTGCGCGATCGTTGTTTGAAGGTGTTTAAACAAGGGGTTGACCCAGCCCAGGAAGGACCCATTTCCTTCAGCCAATTGCCAAAGATGGTAAAACGGGATTTTTCACGGTGGGCCCTATTCTCCAAGCCCCTGTTGGCCACCGTTGCGAGTCCCTACACTTTTTTGCCATTGGTTCCAAACCGCACCGTTTGAGTATCTCTGAAGTGAGAATTCTGAGGTCTGAACGTGGAATTGTGGGACCCCGCCTTGGATCAGCTGTCTTAGAAACACCAATAAATTGTATTGTCAGGGTTGTCAGCGTATTGAACCAATGTATCCTGCGGAACAAGCCCGTCTGACTTCCTTCACACCAGAAACACGCCGAAGAGGAGGAGATAGAGCATGACGCTGCTAGAATCTCGCAAGTAACTTCTGGTCTTGTTCGCAGAGAGATTTGCGGAATCTATAAATCCCCTTGAAGAAAGCAAGGGATTCTACGGCAACAGCCCCAAGAACCAGCGCATATTCTCACTTCCGAGGGGATCAACTTGTTTTCGGCGGGTGACTCCACGTCGGAAGGGCCAGCGGGTTCCATGAACGGCATCCATCTTCTGAACTCACTCCATGAGTTGGACTATATACCTAAAAAGACCCTGATTTTGACGAGAAAAGAAGGCTTGGAGCTGTTTGCGTCCCTTTTTCCGCTCAAGCGAGAGAAAGGGCCGGGCCCCGTTTGGGGTTTCCGGTCATACGCGGAGTACACGGCCGTGAACAAATGTTCGATGGTGGGATGCGGTCATTAAGGCCTATGGGGTGGTTTTTGAGGATACCCGCTGGGCAGCGTTGCATCTTGGAATTGTCAGGTGGCGAAGCCATCAACACAAACGGATTGCACACTGCGCTTCTGGGAGATCTGGACTGAATAAAGTATGCCAACTGTGCGTGGTATAGAATCTATGTTTGCAGACCTGAAATTCGTCGATCTCGCATGTTCAGTGAGGGAACCAATCGGCACGGTCCTCATCAAGAAGCCGAACATGACATTTGAGCCACATAGCAATCTGGGCAAGCGGAGCAAAAGGGACAGCCCTCTCGCCATGAGAGGGAAGGAGGAAACCGCAAGTAGCGTCAAGTTGGGTTTGGTTTCAAATTGGATTTCGTTATTCTTAAGTTATTTTAACCGATTTTTAGTAAGTTTATTGCCTCGTTTCCCAAGACCTCTCAAACGATTCAGTCCATTGCCTCGTTTAAGGCACCAGCATCTGGGCCAACAAATCGGCCCTGCGCAGCTTGTTCCTCGCCTTGGACGCCCCTCGCCTTGGACGCCGCGCCCGATGGCTTCCCAAATCGGGCGAGTCATTTTGGGGCTGTTGCTGTCTTCTTTTTTGGCTCACTGACTTCTGTGGCCGTTATGGCTTTCCTTTCAACAGCGGTTTAGCATCACACTTTGGGCGGGCTCACTGAAAAGGACTAGGGAGCCGTTTGTTTCAACTTGAAAGCGCGGTGATTTAGAGCTCCATGATGCAACCACAGCGAAAAACAAGTTTGAAAACCGCCAGCCTGGGCGGTTCCCAGCCGCCCCGATAGTTGGTTTTTGGTTTTTAGGGTTCAGTGGTAGTTTGCCTAACCCACAACTTAAACTGACTTCCTGAGTTCATGAACTTTATTTTTTGGGGGAAGACCATTTTAGTGGTAAATATAAAGTTTGGACTTTTTTGGGGCCATCCACTCAGCCGGTGAGTAAACTTTTAACAGGGGATCACGTTTGGCTGTGCCTCTTTCAAACCACAGATGGAGCCATCAGAACATTTGACAATCAGTGGAATCCTGTCCTAGAGCTTCATTGGGATGGTGTTTGTGTTGAGTTTCTTGCATTCAAAAGTTCCTTTTGGAGAGATACAGAACAGCTGACAGGTTTGGGGCTCCCAACGGTCAAACACAGTGTGGAGACGGGCAAGCCACTGTAGTGGGTAACCAAAAGTCAGGTCCGGTTGGTCTTGTAAAAGGTTTCCTTGGTTGCCTAGGGGTAAATGAAGCCACCGGGATGTATGTTGTTCACGGCTCGACTCGGCATGACTTCAAGCAATCTATGTTTTACATCTCAGAACTTCGCTAAACCTATCGGGCCCAACATAATGTATATGTCAAAGGCTGAATGTGTCCATGTGAACCCCTGGTAACCCCTAGTTTATGTGCTAATTACCAGTATTTGGCTTTATGGGAAATCAGCCAAAGGGTGCAACATGGCCATGGGTTATATGGATCCATAGATTCAGCCTTTGTATGGAAGGCGTAGCTGCAGCAAAGGGGCCTTCCCCCGTAGGTACAGGTTGATGTAAATGTTGAAGCCTGTCCCGTGGTGGGAAAGCGCCAAAGAAAACCATTCTCCTTTCGATCCCTTTAAAAGGTAAGCGAAAAGAGGGAACCTTTTAACTTGGTTGTTCCCAGCCATCCGGTTCCGTGTTTTTAGTTGGTTCAGTGGGGAGGGGGGGTCCATTTAACCGACTAAAAGTCAAGTTTTAGCAGGGGATCTGAGGACAGCCCAGATCGTGGTTTCAACCTGTTTCAACAGTGGCGCAAGCCTGTCTCTGCGGAAAACAAGACTGAACATACACCTAATGCAATGCGAAAAGCAGTGCTTGATTCGAAATCTCCCAGCGACGCCAAATGAATGGAAAGTCAGTGCCTGGGAAGGGTAGGGTGGAGCATGAGTCCCACGGAAAAAGGGCCCCCTCTTTCCCCATGGAAATCCACTGGAAGTCTGAGAGGGGATGGCGCAAGTGGCCGAGAGAAGGTTTTGTCCATAAAGAAGACGATTTCCACCGGGGCGTGGCTCCTAAAAGAAACCCTGTTTCTTGCCTGTAAGAGGGTTTCCACTACCAAGCCACAGGGGAAAAAGGGGTGCATACTCCTTCAGCAGATCCCTTAGAACCCCGAAAGGTGAGGCTGGAAACGGACAAAAGCAGAGCGAACCCCAGGCTGATCAAAACCGGGGGGGGGGGTGTGCGCCGAGTTCCTGGGATGTGATAGATTGATACCCGAGCCGCCGACTTTGGCTTCTGCCAAGATTATTGTTGCAGTAGAGGGAGGATGTCTCCATTGATAGGTCCCATTCTCCCTAAAAAAACAACTTGAACGTGGAATTGGAGGAGAAGGGTGACTCCACCTGTGCTCTGAACTGGGCTCCTGATCGAATAGGGGACCAAAGATGTACTGATTCTGTGTGGGGGCGGAGTCAATGCATTTGATGAACCAACCAGCCTTTTCTTTGGACGGGGCCTCCAATTCCAACCAAACAATTTGACTTCTTTTTTTGCCGGGGGGGGGGGGGGGAGTCCTGACAATTTACTCCCCGCTTTCCCACTTTTTGGCCACGTCCACTGCGCTTGGCGTGAGCAGAACGCGCTGGACACCAGGTCACAGCAACCTGCCAGCAATGCAAACAACTTCGGGGGATGTCTTACCGGAAGACGTGAGTCACGTCACGCAGCCATCAGCCCAAAGGTATGTCCTCAGGCCTACACACTAGGCCACTTGTGGTCGTCAACCCCGCTCCTGCACCGATCGCCAAGCTCATGATGTCTTTTATGGCTTGTGGTGTTGCTGCCGTGTCAGACACAAGCATAAGGCCACCTGACAGCCCACGCAAATGCGTAGCCGTCAGCACAGGCCACTCCCGCTGAACAAGCTCAACACCGATAGCCATCCGTTGAACGACAGCCGGTGTCTGGGTACCTTTCTTGCACATGTCTCTCTGCAGGATCCGGCTCCCATTCTGCAATCGAAGAACTTTGCGATGTGCAGCTGTTAGGCATCCTAGTACCTTGCAGAACTTCCAGAAACCCAAACGGCCAGGCTCCACGCACAAAGTCCAACTGCCGGATTCAAGGAGTCCGCTCGAACTGATGGGCAGCTAGCCTCAGCTCCACAATCCCCCAAAGCTGCATCCACGCCAAGGCCATCAAAGGGCTTTGAAGCCTCGGCGGTCACCAACAATTCATCACGAGGCAAGTCTCTCTCCCGCAAAGCCATACTGCGCTGTGTGGGAGCGTGCACCCCTTCGTCCATCTGCAAAGCCTGCCATCCTCCACCACATCGGCTGAGAACCTCGCCTGTCCGAGGTTCTCCAGATCCATGGCAGCCTTGGCTCTACCAGCCGCCTCCGCCCCGCCTCTGGAAGGCTAGAGAGCTCAGTTTACTCACCGAAAACCGGGGGTTGGTGGACCCTTGTTCCCATGCAACCAGCTCCGTCTCATTCGAGGCCCGCGAAGCTGTGGATTTCCGGCGGCTTAGGTCGAGCACAGCGGCCGGATTTCTCGCGAAGACCTGCGGAAGGCCCTCGCCGCGGTGAAGGCGAGTTTTTTTTTTTTTTTTTTTTTTTTTTTTTTTTTTTAAAAAAATATATATATATATATATATTTTCCGTTTCGCGTCGCGAGATTGATTGTTGCGGACCCAAAAAATCGGGGGGTCATCGTTGTTTTTGTTTTGTTTGCTTGTTGGTTTCAAAAGGAATTGATTTCACTAGTGGAAATATTGTCCTTTTTTCCAGGAGTCGAAAAAGCAAATAGGTTGCGTATTTTCTTGCTGCGGTAGGCAGGGAATGACAACGAGTCTCAGACCGGGTGTTGGGAAAGAAGCGATTTGGGAGATTCCTGAGAAAAGGAAACCATCGGATTGATGGTTTTTGTTCGGGGTCATTCCCTCACTCCCAGCTGAACACCAGCAAGTTGTTGCTTCTCCTTTTGACTCATTCCCTGAGTTCCGTTTCGGACTTTAGTCACTTTTTGGGTTTGGTCCAATTTAGTGGCAAAGAACTGTTTGGTGACTTTTCCTTCCCAGGTGTTCCGGGACGTTGCTGAAATTCTAACCAACATGTCCAGGTGGACATATCTCGTGGTGTCCCATGATATTCTGGTTTCCCCTTGAAACGCCATTCAATCACAGGCTGTAGCAACGCTGGTCAACACTGGGCACCCTCGCCGAATTCCCACCAGTCAATGGAGAAGGGTGACTTAGAATGAATCTCGACCATGGCTCGGTCCCTTTCCACATGTGAGTGGACCATGGTGCCAATGCCCTTTTCAAGTCTGCTTTTCAAACTTGAATGGGAACTGCCTGTGTCTTTGGATTTGTGGTGTTGGAATCTTGCTCTGTGGTAGTCAGGCCGAACCAGAATCAGGCTTACCGGAACACTCCTTGCAGGTCTGATCTCGCTTGAGAAGCGAGGGGTTTACCACCGAAAAGAAAAGCCACCCCTTCCGAAAACCACCTCCCAGTGTTCACCTTTGTGCTTTCCCTCAACGCAAACTCCAAATAGGCACCACCCTGTAGTATAGTACATACCTCTAGTAGGTCAGTGGCGCCCTTAGGTTGGTGGGTTCCCCACTAAAAACGGTCAACCCCAAGAAGGCTGTTAAGCAAGGTCACTGGTTGCCACTACCCTCCCAAAAATTGAGGGTCCCAAAATGCAGCAGCTTCTTTTGGGCCGCGCCAGTCACAGAAACCAGGAGGACAACAAGGGCACCCTTAAATAGCACGCGCCCCATCTCGAGCGTTTGAGGCAGGGCGGAATGAACCGCTGCTGACAGCGGAGCAGGTGGACCTCATTCTGGACAGAGCGAGAGGGGGTCAACGAGTCTACAGAGAGGTTTGTTGCCACAGAACAAACGCCCCACAAACAAACACAAGAAAAGCAAACAGACAGGCAGGCAGGCAGGCAGGCAAGCAAGCAAGCAAGCAAGCAAGCAATCAGGCAGCCAGCCAGCCAGCCAGCCAGCAAGCCAGCGAGCGAGCAAGCGAGCAAGCAAGCACAGGCATTTGCACAACAAACAGAGGGACAGACAGACAGACAGACAACCAAATGATCCAACCAGCCCAACAAGGAAACTTATCCCGCACTGCAAGCGACAGCTTTACTTGCTGTGGTCTGAGCAGATTAACATGCACTTGCGTGCTGGCCACTTATCCATGCAGTAGTTTGCTTAGGCGTTCGTTGAAGCACTTCATCTGTGGGCACGCGGCCCAAGACTTCCGGTTGTTCTTTTGGTTTGCTCTTAAAACCAACCAACAGTGGGTACCTGGAGTCAAACTACCCATAAAAATGGGATATCACCCCTGTTTGGGGTGAAACCAATTTTTAAGAAAGGGTTTGGGACCTATGTCCTCCCAGAGATTGGGTAGGATTTTGCCAGGAGCACACCAAGTTCAACGCGGCGTTGCTCGGCAATTGCTCCGATTGAGGTGCATTCAAAAAATCCCAGTAGTTTCTGGGCGGCTCCCAGGCATCCGTTTCCTGAGCTTTTTAGGTCTTTGGTTGGTTTAGTGGGGCGTTTCCATTGCACCCAAAAGTTAAACTTGGGGGATCTGAGGGCAGTTTGAGGAGGGGCATGGAGAAGTCTTCAAGTTTGGCTAAAACAGGGGAGTCTCTCCAATTATCCAAAATACGGCAAATGTTGACGGCACGTATGCCTCTGAGAATGCTGAGGACTCATCAGGTACGCTACAACCGCTTCCTCGACAGCTTCAAAATCTTCGACCTGACTGCCGGAATTCAGCGAAACGGCAAGAGGCAGACATACACGGAGCAACCAGTGAGTTGAGGGTTCAGGTCGAACATGCGTCTAAGCAATGGGTGGCGGTGGCATGTATATGTCCAACGTGAAAGACACATTGACTGGCCAGTGAATGGATCCGAGTTCTTGTCAAGTCATGCTCGCAGGGCGCGAGAGGCTTCCAGACTGGATTATTTGCAAAAACATGGTCGAGACATCAACCCAGAGCAACTTATCATGCCAACAAATGTGCTTTGGTGTGTGTGCGTTAGTGATCAATAATATGTGTGCCTCGTCAGGGCATATTGCTTGACAGTGTGTTGAACTTGATGATTTGGGTGGTTTGCGTGCACTGGTAAACTTGTCCCAAGGTTGATTCCGTGGCTACTCTGCAGACGCCGTGCACTTCCGCCTAGTCAGCTTTATCTTTGTGTAGGGCGAGTGCAGGCGTCCAGATGTGGAGCACGAGCGAACATGTGTTCGCAGCTCCCAACAAGGGAGCCGTTAATGCCATTCCCATGGGGAAAAGAGGAGGCCCGCAGGACCCATATTGGCTGCGATTTTGGGCCTGCAAAGGGAGTCAGAAACCAAAACGGGTGAGTGCCCTGAATGAAAGGGCCAAGGACAAGAAGGTTTCAATCTGGCAACTATGTCTTTTTGAGGCTACCCTGAGGTGGTGCCAAAGGGAAGCCGCATTTGTTTTTGGGGGAACCCTCTAGCTTGAGACCATGAGCTTAAACGTTGGATGTCAGCCACGATCTGCTGGATTGCTTGATCTTGCCTGAAATGGCTGGGTAATCTTTTTAAAATGCATCGTGATGGGGATAGATCATTGCAATTATTGTATTCCTGCGACAGTCAAATGTCTTGAAGCTTCGCACGCTGACATTTGGCCGAGGCTCGGACAGATTTTGGCTGGCGGTGTGTCAAGAAATGCAGCCAAATCGCCCTCAGGATAGCGTAGAATCAAGCCACCCCAGCCCACCCAAGTGAGCACCACAAGAGCAGCCCCTTGGAGCACATTTTTTAACGAGAGCAGACTGGTACGGTACACTTCTTGTGTCGGGTGTCCAGTAGCAAACGCGGCACCCGCGTTGCGCTGCCTCTGCTCACGTGCTGGTGGCATCCTCAGATGTCCGACAATTTCCTCATGTTGAAAGTTGTTAAGTTTAAGGCCTTAGACATGAGCCAGGGTCTGAATATGACCCGTTTTGGCGGTCTTCACGAGGGCTTTAAAAGTTGCATTGTACTGATGGGTTCCAACAATTGCCACTTTTGGAGGTCCGCAAAAGGAAACTGAGGAACGCCTGTAAACATCATTTGGTCCACGTTTACAAGAACTTCCATTGGGTGATGTTGGGGCAAAAACGGGGGTCGGCAGAAGAGGCGTGTGAAGAATCCGGATGCGTTCGCCAATAAGTTCGGCTGTCAGGCCCCCGGCAGATGGGTGTGTGTGCTACCAGTGCTGCACTCAGTGATCAGGCGGACGTTGATTTGGGGGTGACCTCCTCTTGGCTGGGCTTTGACGGGGAACGAAACAAAGAAACACATACTAGTTGTTTGGGGGCTGGGGGTCGAACCTCAAAAAGGCACCCCAATGGCCGTGGTTGTCAAAAAATAGATTTGGTAACCCCAAAATGGCGCAAGCCCATGTGTCGACTAAGACCAGCGGTCCATGTGGCGGTCGAAAATGTTCACCGATACCCACCAGACCGTTTGGTCGGGGTTTTGTTCATAGCATGCTTTTGCGTACGGAGGATGCCCTAAGTCCTAAGTATTGCTCTAACTTACTGCAATTTTCCCTGGCTTTGTGTTTTTGTGCATGTTTGGTTTACTTGCCATATGTTTCCACCGTATGTTAGGAGCCCAAAGCACCAGAAACCATCTGGGAACCAAGGCTGCGTGGGCTCTGTTGGCAAGAGCGGCTGCGTCTGCCCTGCTTGTTCAGTTCGGCGAAGCGCGAGCGAGCTGTTCCTCTGTGGGGTGCATGCCCCACGTCGGGGTGCAGGTCCAATGGTTTTATGCCAAGATGCGAGCACCTGGATATAAAAACAAGATCTAAATGTCCTGTACTTAAGTGGATAATTCATTTTTCAGGTTTGTGGGGATCATTGTGACACGGCCAAATGCGCACGACTCCCGCAATTGGGGACGGCCGATGTACATTGACATGGACCACTTGTGGATTTGTCGCATCTCCGGGTTCGCATGGTTCCTTCTGTCCCGTTGCAGCTTTTCAGGGGGCATCGTGGATTCCAAGTGAACCAACATGCCCGCGAGTTGCGGCTTGCTCCTTGCTCAGTGGAAGTTTCCATTCCTAAATGAAGGCCACCCGGCACTTCGTCGCCAGGACGTCCCACTCTTCCAGGAGTGCATCACACCGGATGAGCCGTGTGCTGAGTTTCTGCACGGGAAAAAGGGGCGGGGGGGGGGGCGTGGACCATTTTCTGCGATCCCCTCAAGTTTAAACCATCCAAAAAGGGGGGGCCACTGTTTTGAGAAACTTCCCAGAGTGCAGGCACTGGGGATTGGCTCTTCACTTTCGGCACGTGGGCAACAAGTCCGATGACTGGGTCTGTTGCAAGTAATCCAGATGTGGCCAGATGTGGCCAGAATGCCCCTTCTTGTGCATGGTCAGATGGCGTTCCAATGCAAGGTCGCCTTCAACTCTTCACAGCAAAAAGGTTGGCACGCAAAATATGTGCATAGATTTATATACCCTCTTTCCAACAAACATGGAAGCTGATGTTCGAAGACTTAAGGTCCTTTTGAAGAGGCCTCCAGTCTGCCATGATGGGGAGGGGCCCGCATGCGCTGGTGGCGACGCATTGTACTGTCCAAAACGCCCAGGGTCGTCATCAACACGGAGGACGCCGTGCCCGGGAGCTTGGGTGCTTTTATCTTCGCTGATTCTCAGAAAAAGAACACTTTGGGAGATTTGGTTTTTGGGATTAAGACCACAAGGAATGGTGCATAGGTGTCCTGCCCGTGCTTCCAACTGCTCCACATCTTCTGCATGGGTAGCGGTCAAAGGAAACCGACCTTGGTGTTCTCACTAAATTGTATTCCCATGTGGGGCACGATGAATAGTGGTGATGGCTCACGCTTGTCTGGGAGACGTATCATGTGAACCCGCGCTGCCTGGCATTGCGCACATCCCCGAATTCTGCAACACGGGACGCGGTCACGTGTGGGAAAAGCCCACCACCCAGGTGGGTGTGGTTCCTTTTGTAGGCGTGGGTGGTACCCCCAAAATGGGGTGGCACCCAAGTGCCCATCAAGACCCCACCTTCAATTGCCACCCAGTCCCACAGCCCGGAAGCCCACGTCGGCTTCGCTTTCTTCGTAGGCTTCCCCTCATTGTTTCGACCAAGTTACACACCTGAATGTCCATGTCCTCCCGCTGGCCATCCGAAATGGATGAGGCCAATGTCCGAAAAACAGCAACAACAACAACAACAACAACAACAACAACAACAACAACAACAACAACAACAACAACAACAACAACAACAACAACAACAACCACAACCACAACCACAACCACAACCACAACCACAACCAAAACCACAACCACAACCACAACCACAACCACAACCACAACCACAACAACAACAACAACAACAACAACAACAACAACAACAACAACAACAACAACAACAACAACAAGTAAAAAAAAAGGGGGGAGAACAAAAACAACAACCGGGAAAACAAGCACATGTCCTCCGACTTTTGGGTTTCCTCGTGCCCGAATGGTTTGGAACCTTTCGATCTTCCAGGCGCCGGCTTCGGAGCCGGGCCAGCGGGTCTTCCGCCCTGCCCGAGGACGCGATGCGTTCGCCGTCGGCGTGCGGTTGCACCAAAACGGAGAGAGGGTCAAGGGACCGCGGTACAACTTGGGTCGGGCCACTTATAAATTGGGAAGCCCGCAAAATGGGCGGCATTTGTTGTTGTTGTTTTGAGAAACATAGGTGTCCTTCTATGCTTTAAGTCATGGCGCCTCGACCTCGGTTTTCGGCTTTCGGCTTCCGGCTTCGGTCAGGAGTTCCAGACGGAGTCGGGGCAGCGGTGCCACTTGGGGCTGTGCTCACTAGGGGCCGTGGCCCGGGACCGAGGGGTGGGGTTGGTGAGGTGGCGTGGGGGTGGCGCGGGTGAGGTACTTGCTTCCATATTTCTCCCCACTTGGTTTCTCACGCGCTTGCTGGGCTCCACTTGTTTCCATTTGTCTCCTCACTTGCCTCAGGGTTTGATGTTGTCACGAGATGGTCTGGTTCCCCACGTCTTTCCTCCCAGTTTTGTCTTCCCACTTGTTTCCGTGCACGCTTGCTGGGGCGGGTGCTGTCAAGAGATTGTCTGGTTCCGTCAGCCCTTTGTCTCCGGACGTGACGTCACAAGGTCGGTTACCTCTTTTTCTCCGCGCTTGCTTCCATTCCTCTCCCCCGTCCTCACGCTGGTGGGCTGGATGCTGTCACGAAATGTGCTGGCTCGGTCAGTCCTTCATTGTCTCCCCACATGTTCCACTTTGCCTGCCTTGTAGTTTCCATGCGTCCTGCTTTCCATCCCAGTTTGTGTTTCTGACGCGCTTGCTGGGCTAGATGCTGTCACGAGATGGTCTGGCTTGGTTAGCTCTTTGTCTCCCCGCTTGTTTCCTCACGCGCTTGCTGGGCTGGATGCTGTCACGAGATGGTCTGGCTCGGTTAGCTCTTTGTCTCCCACTTGTTTCCGTTTGTGCAGACGCCGTCACGAGATGGTCTGGCTCAGTTAGCTCTTTGTTCCCCGACTTGTTCCCATTTGTCTGCCCACTTGTTGTCCCAGCGTGCGCTTGCTGCACTACACATGTCACGAGCGGTCTGAGCTCTTTGTCTCCCCACTTTTTTCCTCACGCGCTTGCTGGGCTGGATTCTGTCACGAGATGGTATGGCTCAGTTAGCCCTTTGTCCCCCCACTTGTTCCCATTTGTCTCCCCTCAGCGCGCGCTTGCTGCACTATATATGTCACGAGCGGTCTGGCTTGGTTAGCTCTTTGTCTGCCCGCTTGTTTGCTCACGCGCTTGCTGGGCTGGATGCTGTCACGAGATGGTCTGGCGCGACCGGTTCTTCACCAGAGCACAAGTAAGATGAGGATTGCTGCCGGGTGAGTTGGGTGCTGAGAGCAACTCCTCATGCAATTGAGTATGGTTCTCACTGCTTGAGGTCGATGATGGTGTAGTTTGATGTTGTTTTATTAAAATGAAAAGTGTGTGTGTATGTGTATTTGTTTGTTGTGGGGGGTGCGGGGGGGGAATGGCCTATGTTGCAAAGTCCTGAAGATTCCTGAAGAGGGTCGCTGAAAATGGGAGAAGGAGAAATTGGACTGGGGTGTTTTCCCCCGAGGATGTGCTAGAATTTCTTGCGAACGCAGCTGAAACGAGGTTGAATTTCGGGAATTCTCGGAGTTCCGCCCGCAGTGCCGACATTAGCTGAGTGACTCAAACCCGGGTGAAGTTGGACAACCAGATTGCCCTCCAACCCTTTTGACCTGACGTTTGGGGGCTCCTGGTTGGACATGTTTTCTTTGTAAACGCGCCACGTCAGGTTCAATGTTAGTTGGTGGGAGGGTATGTCCAGCTACCGATGGATGTTTTGTTGGCTTTGGATAGGGATCAGCACATCGGGTCCCCATGTGAGCTGACGAGAGCGTTCTGAATTTCCTCCCGAAAAGTCTGGCGAGAGCCTGCTGGCGTGTGCGGCCGTGCAACAAAAGAATATCTCAGCATGTGTTTTTGTCTTCTTCGGTTGGTGTTGAGCCGGTTTGCAGTTGTTCAGTGGTTCCCTGCATTTAAAAAAATGATCAACCCAGAAACCGGTGTCCAGTTCCTTGTTTCCACCTGTTTGCAACTGTGAGTTTGAGGCGTTGGTTATGTAAAAGTCGAGGAGGCAGTTCACTGTTGTCGGACTATGTGTTTTTTGGTGGTTTTGGCCTGTTGTTTTGATTCTGTTCATTTTAAGTGGAGGGTTGCCTCTCAGACAGTATTTTGCTACCATGCCACTGGAAAGAACTGCAAGAGGTTTGCGCTCAGGTCAAAAGCCTGCACGTGCCGAGCAACTCGTTGTGCAGTCTAAAACGCATCAGCAAGCCGCGCCGGCCTGTTTGGATGGTCTGTCCTGAGGAAACCTCTTTGTGGGCGTTTTTAGCTTTAGAGTTGGTTTAGTGGTAGTTTCCACTAAAACGCCAAAAGTTCGACTTTTAGCAGGGGGTCTGAAAACAACCAATTTGTTTGGGATCATTGAAATCGTTTTTCAGTCAAGGTTCAATATGGACCATCAAAACGATGATTGTTGGCTGCAGAAGCGGTGGCTTTGTTGGTCTTGCACAGCAAGAGAAGATTCCCCGTTCGAGACTTCAAGGTGTTATTTCCCCCCTCGAAGCAGGGTTTTTCCTTGCAACCAGTCTTGCACTCCGGTTGCACCCCTACTTTTGACTTTGCTTGAAGACCCATTTGGTTGAAAGGCGATTTCGAAAATAAGCCTGACGCCCAAAAGGTGGACCGATGGATTCCAAAAAAGTTCCAGCAACGTGACAGGAGTAGAACCCATTTAAGATTCAAAGCCCGCGGCTCTCTGGCTGATGGATCCATCCATTCGGTCGACCAGAGGTTGCTTGATGCGGCGGAGCAGTTTGACGTCCCGTTGCAAGACTTGCCCTTCCATCACCTGTGGGAGTGTCTCTAGATCAAAGTCATTCCTCTAGGGAGCCCCTGTGGGGTGGTAGTTAGTCGGAAGGAGGGTAGCTGGTAACCTAGGTGAATTAGCAGCTTGGAGGCTGAGCCCATGCAATGTAGAATGTGCCACGGTCACTCTTTGATCTTGGGGTTAACATGGTCATCAACCCCAAAGAGTTTCAGAATTTAGACCACCTCAGGATCGCTGTCAACCCGGATAATACATATATATATATATATATGTAAATATTTACGGGATTTAGACAACAAACCTAAGGATTGCTACGACTATAAGCCGCATTTGGTGAATTTTGACCATGGCTCCATGTGACGCCAATACCGGGGCCTTGTGCCGGCATTTTGGAATTACTTGCACTGACAGTATGACTTTTGCTCTACAGCACGCATGTTCTTGCATGTTTCCTTGTTTGGCCCTCGTGTTAGTGGGCGGGGCTGCAAAAGCACAGTGGTTCGCGAAAATACCGAGCGTTGGGAAGTTTATGCTTTCTAATGACACATGTAGGGGGACTCCCGAACAAGATCGCCTCTCTTTGTGGCCAGGAAGATGCTGGCGGGCACTGAGTGGAGACGCGATGTCTGGATGTCTCAGCATGACCCAACTTAACGAAATTCTGATGTTGCTTGGTTGCCCCCTTGAAGTGTCACCTTGAACCGTTTGAAGCTTTTGGCCGATGGATAGTTGCACGACCAGCCAACAAGCTGTGATTTTGCAGGTCCTTCAGCAGAGCCCAGTTTGCTTCTAATTTTCCGGGCCAGCCGTGCAGGCAAGAGGGAGAGAGAGAGAGAGAGCGATAGTATGTGTGTGTGTGCGCGCGTTGTTTGCATGCGTGAGCCTAAGGTGGAGGCGATCCAGGACTTCAACCACCCGCGGATTTGCAAGACCTTGGACGCTTTTGAGGCGAACATGGGACGCCGATTGGGCCAGGGTTCGCCATGATTCTCGTGGTGATGCAGGTTATGCGCCTTCGTCGCTGAGCATGTCGTGCAGGTTATGCAGTTGTTGTGCGTTCATTGCGCTGTGGTGTGCCTATGTCTTTGGGGGTGACGTTTGGGAATTGGGGAAGCAGTGTGTTGCTGTTACCAGAAGTAAGCACAGAGCGCGCGGGCCAAGCATCTAGCAGCATGCATTCGAGATGCCAGAAGGTTGACGCAATCAAGGGTCCCCACTTTGTCAACCCATGAGTCCCCCCTTTCGTCACTGCCCTACGTGGCCAAGGGGTGACAGGACAATCAAGTCACATTGGATTTGTCCTTTAACTTTCACGGCAGCATCAAGTGACATCCCTTTGTTGCAAGGTTGTAGGATCAAGGGGTTTATCCCCACTTCCGTGATACTTTTGGGAATCTCCCCCTTATGGGGGGTTGGTCTTTGGGGTTAGGCCCTTTCTGTTGTATCACAGTGGCTTCCATTTCCCACGGCCCTGCTTTGGATTTCGGTTTCGTTGTTTTCGTTTTGAAGGGAAGCTCAAAAAACTCGGCCAGTTTCGGTTTCCCAGGATTCCACGAGCGTGTACTTGGCCGGGCGCCAAATTGGGTTGGGGCGGGCCCCCGGCGACTGGAAGGTGCCGTTCTTCTTTGTACATTTTGTTGAGCCACAGCCAACTATCCTTGCTGTTTCGCTTCACGCCGCCCATGGTTTGGCTGCTGGCTGCCAAGTTTGCCCAATCCCTTGTCTCAGGGAGGCGGATTCGTATCCAACAGGGTCCTTGACGGATATGCTGCGGTGTTGGGTCGAGTTTTCCTGTATGTTTTGTCTACGGTCAGCAATCCCCAAGTCGGTGGTTTGGATTTGAACCCCTGGTTACGCCCATGTGCTTCTGTGTCCGGTTTAATTTCTGGGTTGAAACGGCAAGCTCAAGGTCAGCGGATTCCCGTCAAAAGTGCCGCCATTCCTCCCCCAGTTTAAATGCACCGTCTTGCAATTGTTCGGTTGGTCCAACCTAAGCCAAGACGAGCCACCCGGCGCAAGCATCGATCCGAGGCGAAGCGGGACACCAGAACACCCAAGTGGTTCCAGACAAGCGCAGAGCCAATCGCCTGAAATGAATTGAGCGCCCAAATCCTGCGGATCCCATGTTAGGCTCCGAACCCTGAGCCGCAGTCAAGAAATGCAGGTTAGTAACGGATCTTCCCCTTGCCTTTGCCTTTCTTTGGAATTCCAACATGGTTCTGGGGATCGACCATTTGTTCATCCAATCGGTTTTGACTCAGCCAACACCGGGTCACGCACCTCGAGCCGGGAAAGCGACCAAGGTGATGGAGCTGTGCAGGGGCGGCAACCTCGCAAGCTTGGCACACATGGGCAGTGCCTCGGACAGATCTCTTGGCGCACGTGTTTTTTTTGCTGCGGCGATCAGGGTTGAGACCCGGAGAGAGAACGCCATCCATCCGAGTTGGTGTCCTATTGCAGGGTTGAGACCCCGAGAGAGAACGCCATCCATCCGAGCTGGTGTCCTTAAGGGAATCCCGTCCGGTTCATTCTCAAAACTGTGGGCTCGATGGGAAACCCGTTCCTGCTCAACAGCCCCCAAAAGGCTTTCCAAACAGATGAACTGAATTTTGGTGTTTAGCCGGAATCTGAGTCTAGCACGTTGCTTTTCCAGGGGGCTTAAGCAAATGGAAGAAAGGATTCCCGTTCCCTGGATGTTGTTGGCTTTTTGTTTGTTCGACTTGGTCTGTTGTTGCCTATAGGTTCCCCTCGTTAGCCTAGTTGCCCCTGTGAAACGATTTTCGGTTCGTCTCTGGGGGACTACCTGAGAGAGACATTCAGACCCAACCCCCCCCCCCCCCCCGCCCCGCCTTCCGCCCACCTTGGGAGATGGGCCTTTCGTTTCCTCAAGTTGTGTGGGCGTGTCTTCAAATGGAACCCCAATAGGCATGTTGAAGATTCCCGCAAAAGCGTGTCTCATGCGGGAACTCCAACAATGGGCTATTTATTTTCCCCAAAAAGATCCCCAAATGGGTACTCTCAAAGCTGTTGTGATGGTGGTGCCAGTGAAAATGTTCTGCCGATGCAAGTTGCTAGTGCCACTGGTGATGCCGGTGGTTCAAGCAGGGTGGTGCGAGGCAGGATGATGCCAAACATGTGGACTGTGACGCTGTGTACGATGAGCTCGGTGGTTTTTTGTTGGAGAGGTCTTCCAACCGTTTTGCTTCTGCTCTTTGCCCGACGAGTGAAGCGAAATGTCAGGTGGTGCCAGCGGTGGGCGTTTAGGGGTGGATGTTGGTTGGACAAAAACTACTAAAAAGATGAGATTCCAACCACAGAGGAAAAGTTACCCATGGTCACAGCTGGGGGCCTTTTGTGGGAATATTGACGAACTCCCCGCTTCGGCAGCTTAGGTGGAGTCTTTACGGAAGCCCACGTTGCCGTGCTGGTGCTGCAGATGGTGGAGGCTTGCCTTCGGGTGCTTCAAGCATTGTAGCCCTTACAAGGAGGATGTCCAAGGATCTAAGACGGTGGAGGTGTTGCGCGGACATCGGGCTGGCTTCAGCCCACCCGTGTGTCGCCCCAAAGACGACGACAGCAGCAGCAGCAGCAAACAGCAACAGCAGCAGCAGCAGCAGCAGCAGCAGCAGCAGCAGCAGCAGCAGCAGCAGCAGCAGCAGCAGCAGCACCAACACCAACACCAACACCAACACCAACACCAACACCAACACCAACACCAACACCATGCACCAACACCAACAGCAACAGCCACAACGACGACGGCCACGACGACGACGGCGACGACGACACCACCACCACCACCACCACCAACAACAACAACAACAACAACCACCACCACCACCACCACGACGACGACGACGACGACGACGACGACGACGACAACAACAACAACAGCAACAACAACAACAACAACAACAACAACAACAACAACAATCTAAGTTGGTATTATCTGCCCTGAAATAACTAGCCAGGGAGAAATGAGTTCTATTGGACCCCACTGTGAGCCGTGAAGTGGTCATTGGCCGTGACGAGTTGCTGCCCGTGAAGAGCTCTGTGCGCCTTCAATGCGGCGCAGCCAATGTCGCAGCCAATGCACCTAACATGTCGCAGCTGCAGACTAGAGGAAGTGAGCTGCTTTGAGCGTGTCAGAGAGTTGCAATCAAGCCTGAGATCCCTTTTTTCGTGTCGAACCACACATTCTCAAAGCAACAAATTACTCGTGGAACTTTGCCCCCACGTGTTGCTATTTCCTTGGCGCCCTCTGGGAATTTGCCCTGTTATTTCCAGATGCCATCTTGAAAGCCAGAGTGGAACTGCAAAGCCAAGACCTTTGTCCAAAGCTTTCAGCTGGAAGGCCGTGTCATATCTTCACGGCCTGGGCTACGTGCACTGCGACATTTGCCCAGAGCAGGGGTGCCCGGTCCGACGTCCGTCAGCACCCGAAGTTGAATCCCATCTTGGTGAAGCCTGGGGTCGCTGGGGTTGGGGCAACCGGGTTTCAGACCTCCCCCCTTTTTTTATGGGATCAGCGCCTTTGCAGTCGCTAGGCAGGGTCGGGTAAGAGACCTCCCCCCTCCCTCCCCCCGTTTTGAGGCGTTATTTGATGTTCACGCGCTTTGAGCGGCCAAAAAACCGAATCGGTGCTGAACTTGGCTTGATTTCTTCCGTTAGGGGGGGGAGCTTTGTTTAGACTTGGAAACATTCAAAATTACAGGTATCATGTTGGCTTCCATTCCATTTCACATTTTCCAAAGGCTTCTCTGTCTTTCGCACGCTGACGTTTGTGGGCTCTGACTTTGCTCCCTCTACGACACGGGTCTTTGTGGTTCCCGGCTTCGGTCTAAACATCACTTGCTCGGGCCTGTCAGAGCTCTCTCCGGCCAGTGAGTCAAACCATCGGCGCAGAATTTCCATTTGCAAGCCATCGGTGGGAGCAGATGTAAAGCAAGAATGATCCTGGCTGAATTGGATGTGCTCCCCCCAAAAGAGATCTGAATTTAACAGGGCAGCCCCACTTTTCAGGTCAAGGGGAAACCAAACACCCACAGTCACTCCCAGCTGGAGATCTTTTTTCTCCCTCTCTGTCTGTTTCTTTGGATGGTTCGGGTTAGGAGGAGGACTGACACCCTGGGCCCCTGGGGCCGACTTCAAGGGTCACCCCGAAAAAATTCATCCTGGGCATGGGTGGCCTTTTGATCGGCCGGCTGGTTAGGGCAATGAAATCGATGGTTTCCATTGGTGTGGATGGATCTTATGTCATCCACCTACCAGGGAACCCCATCTTTCTTTCTTTTTTACCAGTTTAGGTCACCTGCTCACTTCCTGAGTTCCTGAACTTTAGTCACTTTTGGGGTTTGGACAATGTTCGCGGTTAATAAACTAGTCTGGTTACTTTTTGTGGATCCACTCCACTCCTCCCAAAGTGAGCCTATGATCCTGGTAATCCACTTCCTGGACCCCCATAAATGGACTATGGGGAGGGGGCTATCCCGTATGAACGTCTGAAGGCCCTGTTGAAGGGGTTATCCTTGGCTTTTCATGGGCCTATCCAGAAATAGCCCCCCTAGCCCCATAGCCCCCACTAGGGCTCCATGATTTCAGATGGAATAAACTTCGCAACATGCCCTTCTCCACGAAAGGCCATGGAATCCAAATGGCCCCTTGGTCCAAACCAGGGCCACTAGGGGTCCACCACTAAAAACCTGCTTCGGATTCAGAGGAATTGGCTCTTCGAGCAACCTCTGGAGACTTCGAGCTCTTTGGCGGCCCTGCACTGGGACCCAGAAAGCCGAAAGCACCGCGAAGGGAGCCAGAAGACACCACTGCATGTGGGATCGGTGGGTGGCCACTTCCCGAGTTCATGTTTACTTGAGAATCACATTTTGGGGTTGGACCAGCTTAGTGGCATAGAAAAAGAAGGTGTTTATCTTTTGTTTGGGGCCATCCACTCAAGCAGTGAGATTCTAAGCCACCCGGGTCAGCTCCACTTAGTGGTAGTCGCGTATACTCTATTTGACTAGCAACTTGCTGTCTTGGCCAATGCCAAGCCCTCAAACAGGGCCCCCACAACCCAAAAAGGAGAAAAACAAGAGGAATTGTGCTCTTCCAGTCTTCAGTGCGGTTCTTTTGGGTGTGCCTTTGCTTGGGAGGACCCTCCAAAAATGGCTTTCGGTGTCCTTTTGGGTTCCCTTTAAAGCCAACCAAACATGAGTACCTCCAAAAACACACCCTGTCTTCACTTGCTCAGATTGCGACTCTTGCCCAAAGACCCTGCCAAATGACCCTGTTTGGGGTACATGACCCACCTCTGTGGTTGAAGCAATGGGGTAGTCAAAGAGTGGAACACGACCCCACTTACTTTGGACTAGGGATGGTCAACATTCAGTCGACCGGCAGGTACGTGGACGGAAGGGATGGTCATCCACCTCTTGATTTGGGATTCTGGACTGCCATGGCAAGGTTTCCTATTACTCATGTCCTGAGATCCTGGACTTTATGCTGTTTTGGAAGACCATTTTGGTGGCAAATGAAAGGTTTGCTTTTGTTTGACAATCCACTCAGGAAGTGAGATTAAGGGAACCATGACCATGGCCCACAAGGAGCCTGATGGCACATGTGGTCAGAAGGGACTCATGTCTTGCGAGGAGCATTCACCTGCCCATTTCATGGCCAGCTCAACCGAGTTTATGACCTTCACCATGATGAAGGTCCCTTTCAGATGTTGGCGTTGGTTGTGAACCTGCAGATTCATGGAGCCCTGTGCCTGTTCGACCGAAGCGGATTCGTCAGGTCTTTGAAGATGATCGACTTTGGCCTGGTTCCCAGGTTCAGGAGGGCTTTGGGAAGGTTTGATTCGCCTATTTGGTGGGATTGTTGGACTTCAATTTTTTGGGCAACAGAGGATTGTCCGTTGCACCCACCAAAAGCTAAACTTTTTGCAGAGGGGTCAATTGCAACCAAGGGTTTGTCCCACTGCGATGGCAAGGAGCCATGAGAGTCCTCACAACAGGGTTGCCGGAGTATAGCCTTGCCACTGGGAGACCTTTCCATTGACCCATGCTTGACTCTGGCATTGGACATTCCTTGAACCGCGGTGCCGAAATTTGTCTATTTTCCGTACCCCCATGATGAAACCCACAGGTGCGTTCTGTTTGCGGGAGGAAGGGAAACCACTAGCATGGGTCCCTCCATTTCCCTTTTTCAGACCACCAAGTGTGGCGATGGTTCAATGGACCCCACCCAACTTTTTGATTTGGAAAAATCCAGGGACCTCTGACCCTTTGAAGCCAAATGCCTCCGAAACTAACGCCCCTCATTCCCACTAACATGGCAGCTGACACAGGGTACCCCCAAGATGAAACTCATCTTCCAGGTACCCTCCCATACGTGCCTTCTGTTAGTCTTGCTGGTGCTGAGTAAGCCATAGGGGATGTGTTGTTTTCCTCTTTTCTTCCGAGGTCATTCCATTTCTGCCTATCGAACCAGCAAGTACTGGGAGGAAGGCCAAAGTGACCTTGACATCCCCTCCGTGCGTGTTGCCTGAGGTTTTACGCAGAAGCACTCGAGAGACCCGCCTCGGAAGCCGTCCCGCTATAGCTACCACACGGTAGCAGGCGGGGGGCTTCTGTCAAGCAGGCGCCATGTTGGGAGCAAGTGGATCTGCCCCAACAGCTCAAAGCTGTGGGGTCTCCAGAGGGTAGTTTGGGGCAGCCTTCAGGGAGGGTTCCGTTCTAGGGGTTTCCGGGGATGTTGGGGATATCACCTGGGCTTATGTTTAATTGATGGTGGTTCTGTCCATTTTTGGCCCATTTTTGGTGGGGCCGCAGGCGCCAAGTGGTCACAGCTCACTCGCGCAGCTCGCTCGCTCGCGCCAGTGCCGGAGCGGCGGATTTCCCGGCTGATCACCGACGGGTCTTCTCCCGGACGCCCGGGACCTGAGAGCTCTGAAGCCGAAAGCGGGGACGCGGTTTCGCTCGGCCTCGGTTTCGCGACCGCCCCTGGTGCAAACTTTTTGGTTTTCGATCTTTAAACTTTTTGGGTTTGGACCATTTTAGTGGGAAATATAAAGTTTGAACTTTTTTTGGGCCATCCACTCAGCAAGTGAGTTTTGCATCCCACGAACAGAAGGCATTTAGAGGGCATGGAAGATGAATCTCCTCAAGGGACCCTCTTTTTCACGCAACAATTCCATACTCAGGGGGGTGGGGGGGGGGGGAGTGGGGCTGCAGACCTCATTCGCGGTGCCCATAGGAGTCGCGGAGTCGCGGGTCATCGGGAGCCGCCTGAACTTTGCGAAGTTTTATGTCCCGCAAAAAAGGCAATGGAGGCCGTGCATGTTGACGTACCACCACTTACTGGGGTTTCTGGTAGATGTAACATTGACCCCAAAGGAAGCGACCTAGTTTATCAACAGCGGGGTGTTCCTTTGCAAAGTGATAATTCCCCACTAAACCCAGGGACAGCCCCCTATTAATTAACTGGGGTTGATGAATACAGGGTCAACATTATTTGATTCATTGCTGGTATAGGGGAAGTTGGCAACCCACATGGGGTCATTCCCCGAAAACGGAACCACATCCTATGTTATTTGAAATGCACGGGGGGCTAGCAGGTTGAATAGGGTCCTAATGTTTCTAGTTTGGAATGATCAACCAGTGCAGTTTTGATGGCCATCAAGAAGCTTCGCTTAACTCGTACCATGTGTGAAATATGCCTGACCACAGTGCGGACCTTAAGTGTGTGTTAAAATACGCCCTAGAATGGGTTTATGTTTTTTTCCCCACATCTTTGTGTGGGGTTCTTACTTTTTCCGCTTGTCGTCCGCGCGCCGCGTCTCCTCCTCCTCCTCCTCCCGCTCGTCTCCGTCTCACTCACTCACTCACTCACTCACTCACTCACTCACTCACTCACTCACTCACTCACTCACTCACACTCACTCACTCACTCACTCACTCACTCACTCACTCACTCACTCACTCACTCACTCAGTCACTCACACTCACTCACACTCACTCACACTCACTCACTCACACTCAGTCACTCACACTCACTCACACTCACTCACTCACACTCACTCACTCACTCACTCACTCACTCACTCACTCTCACTCACACTCACTCACTCACACTCACTCTCATTCACTCACTCTCATTCACTCACTCACTCACTCACTCGCTCACTCACTCACTCACACTCGCTGACTCACGGCAGCTGTCTAGAGGGACAGGATGTTGTCGCGCGCGCGGCGGGGGGCGTGCGAAATCGTGGCAGGCGCAGCACTTTGGCGATGCCGTTGCGAAATCGTGGCAGGCGCAGCACTTTGGCGATGCCGTTGCCGAAGTCGTGGCAGGCGCAGCATTCTGTGCATCTGGGTGTGTGTTTGTGTGGCAGGGGTCGCATTCGGCAGCTGTCTAGAGGGACAGGATGTTGTCGCGCGCGCGGCGGGGGGCGTGCGAAATCGTGGCAGGCGCAGCACTTTGGCGATGCCGTTGCGAAATCGTGGCAGGCGCAGCACTTTGGCGATGCCGTTGCCGAAGTCGTGGCAGGCGCAGCATTCTGTGCATCTGGGTGTGTGTTTGTGTGGCAGGGGTCGCATTCGGCAGCTGTCTAGAGGGACAGGATGTTGTCGCGCGCGCGGCGGGGGGCGTGCGAAATCGTGGCAGGCGCAGCACTTTGGCGATGCCGTTGCGAAATCGTGGCAGGCGCAGCACTTTGGCGATGCCGTTGCCGAAGTCGTGGCAGGCGCAGCATTCTGTGCATCTGGGTGTGTGTTTGTGTGGCAGGGGTCGCATTCGGCAGCTGTCTAGAGGGACAGGATGTTGTCGCGCGCGCGGCGGGGGGCGTGCGAAATCGTGGCAGGCGCAGCACTTTGGCGATGCCGTTGCGAAATCGTGGCAGGCGCAGCACTTTGGCGATGCCGTTGCCGAAGTCGTGGCAGGCGCAGCATTCTGTGCATCTGGGTGTGTGTTTGTGTGGCAGGGGTCGCATTCGGCAGCTGTCTAGAGGGACAGGATGTTGTCGCGCGCGCGGCGGGGGGCGTGCGAAATCGTGGCAGGCGCAGCACTTTGGCGATGCCGTTGCGAAATCGTGGCAGGCGCAGCACTTTGGCGATGCCGTTGCCGAAGTCGTGGCAGGCGCAGCATTCTGTGCATCTGGGTGTGTGTTTGTGTGGCAGGGGTCGCATTCGGCAGCTGTCTAGAGGGACAGGATGTTGTCGCGCGCGCGGCGGGGGGCGTGCGAAATCGTGGCAGGCGCAGCACTTTGGCGATGCCGTTGCGAAATCGTGGCAGGCGCAGCACTTTGGCGATGCCGTTGCCGAAGTCGTGGCAGGCGCAGCATTCTGTGCATCTGGGTGTGTGTTTGTGTGGCAGGGGTCGCATTCGGCAGCTGTCTAGAGGGACAGGATGTTGTCGCGCGCGCGGCGGGGGGCGTGCGAAATCGTGGCAGGCGCAGCACTTTGGCGATGCCGTTGCGAAATCGTGGCAGGCGCAGCACTTTGGCGATGCCGTTGCCGAAGTCGTGGCAGGCGCAGCATTCTGTGCATCTGGGTGTGTGTTTGTGTGGCAGGGGTCGCATTCGGCAGCTGTCTAGAGGGACAGGATGTTGTCGCGCGCGCGGCGGGGGGTGTGCGAAATCGTGGCAGGCGCAGCACTTTGGCGATGCCGTTGCGAAATCGTGGCAGGCGCAGCACTTTGGCGATGCCGTTGCCGAAGTCGTGGCAGGCGCTGCATTCTGTGCATCTGGGTGCTCTGTAATCGCATCCATACAAGGGGCGCACAGTACATGTGTGTGTGGACATTTGAACTCACATCCTTTGGAAAAACATAGCATGTGGGGTTATCCGGTCCTTTAATTTGGCTTCCCCTGAAACTTCCACAAACGGCCCCCCCTTGAGTGACCAAACAAAAACGCTACACCCCCCTTCAGTGACAAAACAAAACTACCCGAGCACGGCTGTTCCCCTTTGAGTGTCCAAACAACATCACTCCAACGTGTTTGTTTTCCCCCTTCAGTGACCATTAAAAACACCACCCCAACACATGTCTTCCCCCCTTCAGTGATACAACAATTCAGCACCCCACCACGTGCTTTGTGCTGTCACTTTCAAGCCACCCCAAAGACGGGCTGGGTCTCCCACCCTCCCAGCAGACGCCGACCGACGAAGAGGACCCCGGCCGAGACTTAGGCCGGCGCCAGAGCGTCACCGGGCTGAGCCTCACGGTGCCCCGCGAGCAGAAACTCGCGGAGACGCCCAACGCGCGGCTCTTCTGCCAGGCGAGTGGCGAGTCGCGAGTCGGCGATGGAAGTCGAGTGAGGAGCTTCGGACCTTGAAGTCGTCCCGGTATTCAAAGCTAAACAGATTGAAGAAGTGCGTTTGTGAATCACCCTTTGGTTGGCAGAAGGGAAACCAAAGGTCACCGTTGGCTTCTTTGGGGCATTTTTGTGAAAGAGGGCGAAACATCGGTGTGGCATTTTAATTGGGGACCCTGTGGTGGACATGTAGGATTTAGGTTGGGATCCATGTACCACTTTTGAGGTGGTTCCCTATTTAAATGTCATAGCGATGTTTCCGCTTTGGTTTAAACAGTACCTTTCAGTTACCAGTTCAAGTGAGTTTCCTTGTTTGCTGTTTGTTTTTGTCGGGAAAAGTATAGGTCCTGTCAGTGGCAAATGGAGGGGTTTTCGGGAATGCAAATTTCTGGTTGTGGAATTGTGAAACTTACAGATGCTTTTGGGTGCGGATGTATTTAGGAAGTAGCTGAGGACAAGACTAAAGCAACATATTGGAATTTGTTTGGTTGGCTTGGAGGTTAATGCCAACTGGAGGAATAAGCCTTTGGCTAGTGGCAGATTGTGCATGTGTGTGTGTGTGTTTCTGCTTTTCTGGTTTCTAGCAATTTTTGGTGGCAGTGGGATTTTGCCTGGGTTCATGAGGGTCACTGTTGTTTGTATAAACCTTTGTAACCGATAATGTCAGTGTTTTTTTGCTTTGGGGAAGAACGTTCTAGCAAACCAAACCGCTCAGGTTTGGCTGCTCCGTGGTTTACCCTCCTGGTCTTCCATGTCGGATGGGCAGATTGAAGTCGGATAGGCGTTTCCCTGGACCGGACTTTCGCTCTGCTTGAAAAGTTTCAGAAAGATGGGTTCCACAGGTTTCACTTTGGTCCTGGCAGGCATGCCATGTTTTGTGAGGCGGAGCCTCATGATGCTTTTTGTGCTGCCTAGAAAAAATATTGGCCAGTCAGTGGATGCTTGTGCTTCTAATGAGTTTCCCGCGCAAGCATGATTTCACCAAAAAAGCAAAAAACAACACTTTTGAGGAAAAATCGTGAGTCACCCTTTTTGCAGGGTTGGACACTGTTTATATGGAGAAGAGGGATTTGCCCAACCCCTCCAGAGATACAGCAACAGGAAACCGAGTCAAGGGTTCCTCCATTCCCGTTTGGGACCTCCAAAAGTGGGAAATCCAGTGCCCCGGGGTCGCCAGACCTAAAGTGTCGGGTGGACGGACTGGCTTTGCCATCCTCGCCTTCAGAATGGATTCAAAGCAAATGCAGCTGACAACCCTTCGCAAGCCCATTGCTGTTGACTTAAATGCGGTTTTAGGTCGCCAGCGGGCACCTTTGACATTGTCAGGATAGGAGTCAACTTCACCCTCGCGACAACCCCCATGACTACCATTGGTGCTTCCCAGCCATCCGCTTCAACTTGCTTTATACATATATATATATGGTACCCCCCCCCCCAGTACCCAGGTGTTGTTGCATCATGTAGCAAAACCATTGATATTTACAGTGTATTTTGATTGAACTCATGCATTTTCTGCAAGGCCATTTTGTGGACAAAAAAAACAATCCTAGCCCCCACCATGGCTGGGATTCTTTGTTTTTTGTTTTTTTTTGGGGTTTTTGGTCCCGGGAAATGTTGCGCAACAAATTCCAAATGTTGCGCAACATTTGCGGAGCATGATGAGAGGATATGTGAACCTTTGTGAAAGAAGGCATGTTCTAGGTGAGAGGATATGTGAATTTTCTGTAGAAAAGAGTTATTGAAAAGACATGTTTTGTGTGAGATGATATGTGAGTCTTTGTGGAAGAGTCAGGGTTACAGTGATTCATAAAAGTACAGCAAAAGACAGTAAATATTATATAAAACCACCATTTATGTAACACAAACTGTCCCAGCCATAGCCTGGCTTTATTCTACACAGGGTTCACTTTCCTTGGCAACTCTTTCACATATGCTGCCTTTGTTTTATTGAACGAAGACATGTAAAAAGACATGTGTTGGGTGAGAGGATGTGTGAATTTTCTGTGGAAGAGTCTTTGAAACAAGGCATGGTTTGTGTGGGAAGATATGTGAGTTTTCTGTGGAAGGGCCTTTGAAGAAGGCATGGTTTGTGTGGGAACATATGTGAATTGAATTTTGTGTGGAAGAGCCATTGAAAAAGGGCATGGGTCACGTCCAAGGCGTCTTTCTTCAACGAGGCAAACCTCCTTCCTCTGGTCTCCCAGTGTGCAAATCTGAGCTGTTCTTCCTGCCTGCTTCCGCGGTCAAAGCACATCTGAACCAAGCCCAAACCTGGGTACCTGGGGGGGGGGGTCGTATATTCATATATATATATATATATATTCATATATATATATGAAAACAAAATCAGTGTTTAGTGGTTGGATTCCATTTATGCCACAAGCCACAAGCTTTTGGCGGATCCGAAAACATGGCGAGCCCAGTGGCCGGCCCCTCTCTCGCTGTCCGTGGGATTATTTTACTTGCTGGAGCTCAGAAAAATTGAGAAATGAAATGACTTGCCAAGAATTACAATCCCTTACTGGTTTCCTTTCAGCGGACCCCCAGTCCCTCATTCCCTATGCCACCAGCAAGTGATTCACCTCACGCTTTCCGAAGCGAACAGCCTGGAGTCATTTCCATTAGCACCGAGCCACCGAGCCGCCGAGCCACCGAGCCACCGAGCAGGCGCCGGAGCAGCTGAAGAGCACCAGCCCGGATGCCTCCATGGACGTGTGGGCGCTGGGTGCCGACCTCTGGGGGAGGGGGGGGGAGGGGTGGCCCCGTTCGGTGTTCGCGGTACCCGGCTGGTGGCTTGGGGAGCAAAAGCCGAGCCGAGCCGAGCCGTTCCAAAGAGCTGGGGGGATCCATTTTTTGCTTGAACCGATCGGAGTTCTATGAGAACATGGTAGGTACATGGTTGGTTTGGTTGAAAAACAGCGGGCGATTCCTGCGCTTGCCTCTTAGTTCAATCTACCAGGGCCATCTATTTCCAAAATGGACACCTGTGATCTTGCCCCGTTTCGCCTCTACAAACCCACCCTCAAACGCGCTTCCTTTGGAGCTTACCACTGAGCAGATCTTCCTTTTCTTGGCAGCTGCTGGATGACTGGATGACCCGAGCCCTGCGGATGGAATTTGAAATTCGTCCCCGTGAGTGCCTGCAAATAACACCAAACATCGATAGGACATAGACTACCCAGAATCCATACCCGCCTGTGAAAAAAAAACTGACCGGACATGATGGCCCACCCAAAATCCATACCCCAGGAACATCGTCTGTTTCTCATATCCCGAACCCCAGATTGACTACAGACTGTTGGTTCCTCCTTTGTTTGCTACATCCGCGACTCCTGCCGCGCGTAAGCACACGGGCAACATGGACCGCCACAGACTGGCAAAAATGGGTGTGCCTGGACAAGCGAAAATGAATCCAACCGTTTTGGTGCCCCGTTCGGTGGCTGGCGGAAGCCAAACAGGGACACCTGTTTTGGGTTGGCTTTGTGGGAAACCAAAAGGGACACTGCTTTTTATGCGAGCCTCGAGGAAAGTTCTACGCCGGGCAGTGCGTTAAGGGTTTGAAAGGCAGCGGCGAACAGCGGTTTTCGGGGCAACTTGCCTGTTCCATAGGCAGGGAATGAGAAATGGAATGACCCCTGTAAACCATCCACCTGCTGGTTTCCTTCATTCCCACAGAATGAGGGAATGACGAAAATATCCGTGCTCCATGGTTTCCCAGGGAAACCCGCAAATCGCTTCATTCGCAACACCCGAAAGGACTCGGAAAGTCATTCCCTGCCTATCGCAGCGATCGCAAGGAAGCGCGGAAACCTAAAGGAAGCCCCGAATTTTTCCTCTGGACTTTCTAGAGGTACCTTCCATTTCCATTCTCTCCAGGGATCCGAATCTTTCTAGAAAACCTCCGGAAACCCAGGGAAAACGGCTAGTTTTTGGAAAGAACGACGGTTGAAAATAATGGGGAATCAGCCCCTAGAATGTTTTCTCATTTTGTCGGGCGAACAAGCAAATGGACCAATGGAAGTGTTTCAGTCGGCAGAAACCAGTGCCAAGTGCAGGATGCGTGGCATATGTCTCAAAGTCTCGGGGAAACCACTATCACCTGGAAGTGGTGCAGTTCATTTCTCCTGCGAACCTGAAAACAATTTGAAGAAGCAAAAATAACCCTAATCTTCATATATGATACCTTTTGTGACATCTTGAAAAACACATGCTGCCAAGAATAGAGTTCATTGTCGAGCTTTGTCCTTGCCAAACAAAAATGGCATAGGAAAAGAAAAAGCAGGGTGTCCGCCAAAAAGCAGAAACGGACCACACCCACATTTATTTTTTACAAGTGAGGTGTGATCGCCTACTTCCTGCTTCTGGGTAGATCGCCCTTTGAGCCTTCCAGAGGAGTCCGAGCCAACGCGCATTGCTCCGAGCCGCCAGACCAAACTGCGAGGATAGGAAATTGGCGGATTCTCTTGTCCACATCCAGGGGCCAGCCGGCTTTCTCTGTCTGGGTCTGTCTGTTTTAGGGGACCCCCCCCCCCGCCCAAATATTGGTAAAGCCCGCCACAAACAGGTACCAACTCAAAAAAGACGAGTCATGGGGCTCTTTGGCGAGACCTTGGCATACCATGCCCATGTCCCAACTTTGCCCCAATCCGAGTGGCCTGAAAAAGCTTCCGCAGGAGTCACGGACCCCTCGAACAACACGGCCTTCCGGAACGGCCGCAGCTTGGCAAGCAGGATCAATCCACGCTGTGGTCACTGGAGTGATGTGGATGACATTGGATGACTTGTTCTCCCTCACCTAGGCTTGCACGATTTCAACTATAAGCTAGACTCCGGAGAACGCTCTGCTTGCAGACTGGTCATAGGGTGGTGGTGAAGCTCTGAAGCTTGTGCGTGAGCAGAGCAGAGAAGAAGACAGGCTGTCCTGTATTGACAGCTTCAAAGGAAACCACCATGAAGTTCATCAACTTTTGAGAAATCTAGGACACCCCCTGACTCACCAGGGAAGGGTTCCTTTTGCCGACGCATTGCACTCGCAGTCGAGAAACGAGGCTATGTCTTCATGCCCACGGAGGTCTGGGCTGTGACCGGTGCTTCGGAAAACTCATGTGAGCCACGTGCTCAAAACCCGGGTAGATGAAGGTTAGTAAGGGGCACTCCCAGCCAGAAATAGTTGCGGCCGTCTTCTTCATTGCTGAAGCATGGTTCTGGGTAGACCATTTTAATACCGAGTTTTCATTGTGACTCATG